AGACCAAAGCTTTTGATAAAAAGCTTTTAATTGACTTGTAGAAGTAGTAAATCAAGCTTTTCAAAGCTTATTGTGCAAGTGTTTTATGAAATCGAAATAGTTTTAGATTTTTGCGTAAAACTTCCTTTTGAAAAACCAAAACTGAATCATTTTATTGCAAATTTTCATTAAATTTCCTTTTTAAAGTTCAGTTTTAAAGTTTTTAGGTCAGATTTAATTTAATTTTTGAATTTCAAACTTTTGTTTTGAACATTTGGCCCCATTTGGCCCCTTACTTTTTCTTTCTACAATCTACAAGCTTTTACAAGCTCTAATTTCTACATCTTTTTGTCTATTTAGTCACTAGGCAACACAAAAATCCTTTAAAAATAGCCAATTTAGTGAAAATCCGAAAAAACAACAACAATAGTACGGAGATAATTTTTGTTTTGAAATGCGATAAGTACAAATCGAATACAAAAAAAAAAGAAAAGGCAGGCTTAAGAGAAATAAAAATATTTTGTTTGTTTTGTTTTGTTTAGAGCGTATAAATGCGGAAAATATTATTATTGAGAACGTTTGAATAAGCAAAAAACAGATATCAATAGCTTGTTCTAACGAAAAAGTGAACTGAAATCAAAGTTTGACACCCATGTTGGATAGGCATCATTTTCTCAGAGTTGGCGCTGATTTTCTTGGACTGGATTATTCAATCAAGCTTTATTTGGCATCATTTGGAAGCCTGGAATGTCCACTGTACAATTATATAAAGAGTTCACAAAAATATCATCTCTGGATAAAGTTATAGGCCTTCAAAGCGTGACGACCCGTTCAAAATACCCGGACACTACGCAAGAGCCCAAGATTGCTAAAATCTCTAGATTATCAGAAAGTCTACGATTATAGAAAGCAATAGAAAGCAATGTTCAGATACTGAATCGATTTTCTAAAGATATTCAAGAAAAAGAATATCAAACCCGAAAGCAAACCAGGCGACACAACACCCAAGTTGGATAGGCATCATTTGCTCAGAGTTGGCTCTGATTTTCTTGGACTGGATTATTCAATCAAGCTTTATTTGGTATCATTTGAAAGCCTGAAATGTCCTCTATAAAGTGTTATAAAAAGCTAACAAAAATATCATCTCTGCATAAAGTTCAAGGCCTTCAAAGCGTGACGACCCGTTCAAAATACCGGGACACTACGCAAGAGAGGAAATTTTGAAATTTCCCAACTGCCCGCCTGAATTTATTTCTCTTGGGATAGGACTCTGAAAACAGTTGGAATAGTTGGAATAGTTGGAATAGGACTCTGAAAACATAAAGAACCTCTCTGGCTCTACAATAAATATTATGAAAAAAAGAAAAAGAAGAAATTCTCTTTTGATAGCATTGGAATTGAAAGGTCATAAAGCATAAAGCATTGAAATTGAAAGCTTTTATAGATTTAGTATCTTATCGTTGTTGAGTTTCGCAATCGAATGAGCATTTAGATTTTCGAGAAAGGAGAAAGAGGGAAATAAACAAGTTGACAATGAGTTGGGTAAGGAAATTAGTAAAAAGCTGTTGAAAAAGATTCTCTTGCTTAATCAAAAATCAAAAAAGATCCTATTTCCTCTCCAAAAAAGCTTAAAGCTTTTAAAGAATATAAAATTTAAACTCAAAACCGATCTTTGATCACTTAAAAGTTTAAAAACCATCAACTTTTCTTAATTGAATGATTTACAACAGCAATTAAAATAGATTGTGGGACATTTGATTCCCGCCGCTTTGCCATTGGGGACCTAACTTTGAGCTGAAATTTCTTGGTGTTGAGCTGTTCAATTTAAATATTCTTGGTACCATTAAACGCACCAAGTCTTTCTCTGTCGATTGGTACAAAAACTATTAAAATTGGACAACCGAACACCAAGATATTGCAGCTCAAAGTTGGATTGCCAATGGCGAAGGGGCGGGCTTCCTTTTATACGTCCCTGCCCCTTTGCCATTGGCAACCTAACTTTGAGCTCAAATATCTTGGTGTTAGGATGTCCAATTTCAATAGTTTTTATACCAATCGACAGAGAAAGACTTGGCGAATCTAATGATACCAAGAATATTGAAATTGGACAGCTCAACACCAAGATACTTGAGCTCAAAGTTAGATTGCCAATGGCAAAGAGGCGGGCGCGTATCAAATGTCCGATAACCATTAAAACAAGCTTTGTAGACTTTGTTTTATTAGAAAATCGACAAGTTCTGACTTCCACAAGTTCTGAAAAGAAAGTTCCGAATGAGATAAAGTGAACAGTTAACAGCGAAAACGCAAAATGGATGGCATCTCTCTGATTTCAACAATTTGACAAAGATCATGAAAATAAACAAAAAATGTTTAGAAACAAATGATTGAGAGAGTGCTAGTCAAGCAAAGGGACGGGTGGAATGGGTGCTCGCTTTTCCCTTTTCTCTTTGTCGCGCCGAATGCGCGGAAAAGGGGAAAAGGGGGGAAAGGGAGTAGAGAGACTTTTCGATGTTGACGATGTCTTTCGATCGATTCAGTCTGCGTCTCTTATTGAGAGAAGGATCCCTGATATCTTGCTGTCTTTTTCCTCTATTCTGTGGTATCCTTATATTTCTCAGATTCACCACTTTTTCTCTTCGATCGCCTCTAGAATCGCAATAGTCTGTGTCTCTTATTGAGAGAAGGATCCCTAAAATCTTGCTGTCTTTTTCACCTATTCCATTGTGCACATCCACGCAAAATAAGGCAAAAGAATGGTTTTCTGGTGAATTTGGCCGTGTGCTTTGATTCAAAAACATGTGCTGATCACGAATTTGAAAATTTTTTAAAGATCCCATTGACAATTTTTTTAAATGAAGATTTTTGAAAAATTAACACTGGCATTTTTACATTTCCGGAACACCAAGAGGTGGTTTCGGAAAACTCTAATAACTTTAACTTAACTCTAAGAAGAACGCATCAATCTTGCTGTTTTTTGGATCGAAAATGTGAGGTGGTTTCGGAAAACTCTAATAACTTTAACAACTTTAACTTGACTCTAAAAAGAACGCATCAATCGTGCTGTTTTTGCATCCAAAATGTTCGTAATGGATGAAATTTTAATAAAATTCGAGCCGTTTTTTCTTTTGCTTTTTTTTTCTGCGTTTTGTGACACGAAATGTAACGCAGAAAACAAACCAAAAAGAAAAAAATTGTGATCAAATTTGTGATCAGCGCATTTTTTAAAGTCGAATCGCGTATCACACGGCAAAAACTCACCAAAAAAAAAACGGTGTTTCGCGCGAATTTGTGGTGTCCTACTATTAAGTTGTCCGGAAATATTTATTTTGTATTGTTTTGAGCGTTTTGTATTGTTTATTATTTGGGTACATTTTTCTCAATAAAGTATGCTCTGTACCTTGTAATTTTATATATCATTAGAAAGCTGATTTCGTGCTCTCTTTAACCATACTTTTAAATTTTGTTGAAAATAAAATTTTTTGCGAATTTTAAGCTTCACCGTTTTAGATGTCCGAAAGCAAGTTTCGCCTGATTTTCTTTTATGAGTTCAAGCTCGGTCGCAATGCAGCTGAGACGGCTCGTAACATTAATGAAGCTTGGGACCGAGGCAGTGTCGGCGAGTCAACAGTGCGAACTTGGTTCCGAAAATTCGGAGCTAGTGATTTTGATCTCGAAGATAAAGAAGGCCGTAGCCGTCCTGTTGAACGCGGTGACGACGAACTGAAGAGCCTGGTGGAAGCAAATCCACGTACGACTATTCTAGAGCTTGCGGAGGAGCTTGGCGTGAGCAAGACGACCATTTCCGACCGCTTGAAACGGATTGGAAAGTCAAAAAAGCTCAATAAATGGGTGCCGTACGAATTCGAACTCGGTAACGCTCATTTATTTCCGGACAACCTAATATTTCCCGAACTCACCAATTCCTCCTTCAACATCTCTAGATAATCTGTGTCTTTAACTGAGAGAAGAATAGCTCTCATAGTTTGCTGTTTTTTCATCTATTCAGAGATGTCCTTTCTCTTATTCAGAGATTTCTCAGAGTCACTACCCTTTCCTATTAAAGAGCTTATCATAAATACTCTAATAGAACACCTCGTACAGTCGCGTAGTCTAACTTCTTTTTAGAAAATCATTTCTCAGCCCTTAGACTCCTCCCAACTAGACTTTTGGTACCAAAAAATAGATTTCAAGGGCTAACCCAAGCGCACACTGTAACATAAAGCAGCGCGGAGAATTGGACGTTCAAAATTAGACTATGCGACTATGCGACGCCCGAAATTATAGAAGTGGCATTCTATTAGAGTATTTACGGCATATTTCAATGGCTTTCTGGATCTCTTCTGCGCAGTAGATCACTGTTTTCTTCTTGTCTTTTTCACTTATTCTGTAGTATTCAACTATTTTCCGAATTTACCATCCTTTCCTCCTCCAGCATCTCTAAATAATCTAAGTCTCTTTAAAGAAAAAAATCTTTCACTTCTCGTTTTCTTTCCCTACTCTCCTATTCTCTATTTCTATTTCTATTTCTCCAATCTGTCATTTGCTTCTTTTACGCTCTCTATTTCGTCACTAATCTGAATCTCCAGCGCAATTGATCTTTTCCGAAATCTTTCACTCAGCAACGCTCTTGTTCTTTGTATCACTCTGTAGTGACAGACTCTAATTCCCGCTCATGGGTTTTGAAATCTTTTCCCAATTCTCTAATCATTCTATCTTTCCCCGAATCTTTTTCTTCTCACCCAATTCCCCAATCTCTCCTTTCTTTTCTCCCTCCACTTTTCCATTGTTTGTTGTTTTCGTTTTTTGTGCCGATTCTCTTGGCATCCACCCCGAAAAGTGCCCTTACCCTTGATCGCAAAAATTTTTGCCCTATTACTCATCGCAAAAATTTCTCTCGTTTGTTTTTTATGCGTTTTCAATTTTGACCACTTTGCCCTTTTTCTATTTAGTGTTTTTGAATTTATATCTCACGATTTAGAAAAATTTCTTCATGATGGCCTACTCGTAAACTCTAAGAAAGGATGAAGTGGTTCTGGTTCAAATTCTGGTTCTACTACCGCTTGTTTATGTCATGCTTACAGGTTTGTTTTGTTTTGTTTTGTTTTGTTTTATTTAGAGGTCTATTTTGAAGTTATTCAGTAAGCAAACAAAAAATTCGTAAATGAAACTATTTAGCTGAAGAAGAAGAATAAGTTAAACAATAAACAACAATAAAGAATAAGTTAAACAATAAACAACAATAAAGAATAAGTTAAACAATAAACAACAATAAAGAATAAGTTTAATACAATCTCAAGAGCTTAAGAGTGTGAAAAATATCAATTTAAGCATGCCAATTCAAAAAACGGTTGCTAATCTTAACTCTTATTCTAAATATTCTATTCTAGAAAATATTCTAGCTATAAGAAGTCCAGTACTGATTATTAAACATTCGCTGAAATTGTACTAGAGCAAAATTTTAATGTCCTGGCTCAAATTCTTCAATAATTCAGAAGTTGAGTACAAGAAATTGTACGTTTTTTAATACTCGGATTTTAGTCAGAGCGTTATTTAGCTGTGATCAATTCTGTGGATCAAATAAACATCCCATTTTTCAGCATTTCAACTTCTGCTTGGCAATCTACACAAATTGTGTCTATTTCACGTTATGGAAGGCTTACGATCTATTGTGGTGAGCGGTTTCATAAAATTTTGATGGTTAATCGATTTTTCCATTTAAAATCAGCTTATGCTTGAGTAACGATCAATCATGATAACAAGATGAGTAAGCAATCATTATAACAACTGGGAATTTTTTTCTTTATCTAAACTTACGCGATCAATTCAGGTTCTGGATGCATTTGATGCTTTGCACGTGTTTCCCACAACTTCGAAGTGAGAATTACCTCCTCGTTTGGTGTAACTTGATAAAACACAAGCGTTTGTATTACCCCGGAAATACTTATAAGGTAAAAATTTGGATCAGTAATAGAAATGAATCAAAGTTTAGGAAATTTATCTCAAACTTTATGGTCAACCGGGTACCAAGTCTGAAATCGCGTTGCAGGACATTCGAGACAAGGTAAGTTGGACAAGTGATTGAACTACTCAGCTAACTTGCCCAGTAACTCATTAAGAATCAAATATTTCACCTTTTTTTGAAGGAAAATTGGGTTTTATGTGTACTAGATTGAGGTTTTGCGCGCAAAATAGGCTTTAAAGTCGAGTCCAATAGAGTGAGCAATTGATTCTAGCTAGAGTGTGTTCCTCGAGAGTAATGCGTTTTTTAAAACGCACATTTGAGAAAAATTACCGTACTTTTAGTGAAAAGTGAAAGTACTTTTAGTACTTTTATTACAAAAAATTGGCGCGGAAAAATAACGAGGGCCGGCTTATATACGACTCCTTTTAAAGATATTCAGCCGCTTAACTAATTTGGTGGCAAATTTCCCTCAAATGTAAAGATATTCAATTTACTCGATGGGTAAAGAGGATTACTCGTAGTTACGCGATCAAAAACGTCGATTAATCGAGTAAAGAATACTCATGCAAATTTACTCGAGTAATTACTTACTCGCAAGAAATGCACTCTAATTCTAACGGTAAATGAATCGGTAAAGCGCTCATAAAAGTCTAGATCTGGATTCAGAAAACGAATCTAAAATTTGTTCAGGAAATCCAAGAGCACGAGGCTCGTCTTTCAAGGAGAAGGACTCGGAAACAAAGTCGAGAACGTTACGCAAGAGGAGAAACAGTGCCAGAAGAAGACTTGGAAGAGAGCTCATCGGGGAGTAGTGGAGAAGATGATGAGATGGACACGGTGGCGATCAGGAAGAAGAAGAATGGGTCCTTGTGGGAAATCTTTAAAATTTACCCAATCAATTTTCTAGATATCCCCGAATCGATCCAATCGAAGAGGAGGAGAAAGAGGTCCGCAAGTATGTGTACGTTGGAACGGCTGTTGAGGACTCGAATAAGGACTTGGAGACAGGCAAATAATCTAGAAATATGAATAAACCTTACACCTATTCAGCTGCTCAAGAAAAGCCGAGTTCCGATATTTCTGAGCCAGTTGCTCCACCAAGAAAGCCACGAACCCGAACACCCGAGCTTGGAGCAAGGACAAACGCTGTAGAATCTCATGGTTGGTGTTTTGAAACGGAAAAAAAGCTGGTTTTCTTGATCTTAAAAATTTTAAGATTAAATTTTATTTGTTTTTTTATGTTTTTGAGTAAGTTATAATGATAATGCTGTCTTCTTTGAGTCGAAAAGTCTTAGTTTGGATTCAACTTGGAGTTCTTGTGTAGTCTAAAGTTTATCTCCAAATCTTGAATCTATTTAGATCTTACAGTTGCGAAGCTACCATAAATACTCTAAGAGAAGCCCCGCCTATAAGAGCGTCGCGTAGTCCAAGTTTACTCTCAAACAAACGCTCATATCTCGGCGCCCAGACATTTGTATCTACGCGCTTACGTATCAAATTAAAGCAGAGAGGATGGATGATTTTTTGACATATAACACATATTTTTAGCATTAACCGGCACTTAGAACAAAATGATTGAAGAATTGGCTTTTTTCATGATGAAAATCGACTTTTTTTGCCACTTTTTAATTATTGTTCTAAGCGCCGATTAATGCTAAAAATGTGTTATATCTCATAAAATCACCCACCTTCTCTATTTTAATTTGATACTTAAGCGTGCAGAAATAAATGTACTGGTGCTGAGATATGAGCGGTTTTTGAGTGGAATCTTAGACTACGCGACGCTCCTATAGGGGCTCTTCTATTAGAATATTTACGGTGGGTATTATTTCAGCCAGTAACACCACTCCACCACTACTACCGGGAGCCACCGAGCCGGGTAGTTCACGAGCCACTGAAGAGACTGAAGAAACTGATGTCGCACAGGGAAGCGGCGAGGAGAGTGACACGAATAGCACGAGTAAATGGATCGAAAAAGTGCCTGGGGTGCCAAAATGCATTAAGAACAGGTTGGATAAAAATGAGGCTCAATGTAAAAACAATTCTAGGTTTCACAAAGAGGCCAGCATTCGATCAACTTCTCCGCCGAAGCCCGAGAGGCCATCGTGGGTGAAACCGCCGGAGACGTTCATTGGGTGAGTTCGCCTTATAAAAACTTGATCCAATTTCAAAATTATGTAAAATTTATTCACTTTAGGCGAACTTGGGGGAAATTCCGACACAATTTCGTCTCGATTCCGAAATTCCGATGGAGTGCGAGTACAGAGCAGCGTGAGTATCGTGAGTTTTATTTTTGTAAACAATTGAAATTGAATTCTCTAAAGTTTGTAATTCTTGGTCAGAATGTTATTATTTGAATTTAGCTGAGATTGACATACTTCGACCCGACTTCACGAATACGTACGACATTCTCAATCCAAAGATGCTAGCAAAACGAGAGAAGCATGATCGAAAAGTGGGTATAGCTTTATAAGGAAAAGAAAGCCCAAGCAGAAAATGTTGATTTTTATTTTAAAATTTATCATTTGAGTACTCATAGTTTAGTACTCAAAAGTCATTGTAAAAGTTTTCCAAGTTTAGGCCCTAACAAAACGCCTCCGACAACGAGAAAAAGAGCGGCTCCGAGAATTGGCAAAGATTGAAAGAAAGTGAGTCGACATAAAGATTTTAATTTGCTTAAGTAACTTAATTTCAAAGAATTTATCTAAAATGTTTCAACGACAAATTTAGTCGCAAGAAAGTGGCCGACTCAATCGAATTGGTGTTGGCTCTTCTTCGTGTGATCACCTCGTTTGCCGTTTTGATTGGGAACATTCGTCGGACTTTCGTCTTTGCGAGAATTAGCTACGTTCGCCCGGGCAACTACAATTTATACTTGCTTCAGATGATCTTCTCGTGAGTTTTTGAGTGAAACGATGAGATAAAAATTGCTATTAGTCTGAGATGGCTAACTTTGATCTGCCTTTGCCACTTTTAGGCCCAAGAAGTGTTATCTAGGTTGATTTGTAGATGATAGTTGTAGATGATGCCAAAATTAAATAGGTATTTATCTGAAATTAAGTAGGTACTTATCTAAAATCAAATAGATGTATTTCGTCAGGTGAGCGTTGATCTGAGACTTGGAAACTTTTGGTCCGAACAGCAACTCAGATAATCGCTCTAATTTTATAGCCTGTCCCGACTAATTCACTGAATCGATATTACTGTAATCCAGATAGTCCACACAAATAAGTAAGAAAGCATTTATTTTTGACCTCAGTCACTTAAGATGCCCCATTCGTTGGAATAGAGGCTTTTGTGGATAGAGAGGTTTCTTTTCTAATAATTTTACGTTTTGAACATCCCCGATTATTTCACAGATGCATAATTCGCAGATTATGCTAAAATTAAATAGGTACTAGTCGGTTAAAAAAAGATCCGTGCATTAAGTCGGTGATACAAAATGCACTAACTTGTGGCGATATAACCGACTTGATGCATGGATTAAACTATTGTGGGATGACCGGGATAATCGACTAATTTCATTAAATATCTTAACATTGTTAGTTACCCCATTTCTTTAGGGTGACAACTTCTATTGACGTGACCATGTTTCTGATGAACTGTATGTGGATTTGGTGTTGTCAGTGGAACGTTCTCCTCTGCCGACTGGGATTCATTCGATTCTGGTGTTTGCTGCTGTTATTCAGTGTGGTGAGTTCACGGTCGTAACTATAATAGGCTAATTGCAAACTGTCTCACGAAAAAATTCAGTTTTATTCAGATAGTTAGTCAGAGTCAGTCAACAAGCAGTCAGATAAAACATGTAACTTCTAAAAATCTAAGAACATTGACTAGCTATAAGGCTTTTCAGAGAGTCTTTTGGTTCCTTTTCGTACCTTAAACTTTTCCTACTTTTCGTACAGTTTAAAACCAACAAATGCACCAATTAAAATATGGTTTGTTTCATTAGAAAGGTCAATTATTTTTCTACAAAATAACATTAAAACGGGTTTAAAATGTCTTATGTCTGGATTTTTTTGGGAGTATGAAGTCGGGTAGTTAAAAAGGGTGCCGGTTCAAACATTCGCTTTAGACACTTTAGCTAAGGAAACCCATCTTGGTGTCAATAGATAAAAGATAGAGCACAAAAGGTTAGGTATATGGCGAAATTTTCAGAGAAATTCATTCAGCCAATTTCTTCGTAGAGGTTTTTATAGATTTTTGTGAAAAACACTTGTTTTCACTCTCCAATTTGCTTGAAAGTGAATCAAAATTGACTTAAAATTATGGAAATTAAACAATAAACACTTTTTATTTAGAGGAAATCATAGTTTAATTGATGAATTTGTTAATTTTTAACGAAAGTACGAAAAGGAACAAAAAGACTCTGAAAAGCCTAATAGAACCAATAAAAGCCCGATTAACAGCAAGAAAAATAACAGTTTAAATAAAATATAGCAAAGTTCGTAACCGCAAAACTTTTCCAGACCTCAATCTCGATGATTTGGCCAATGTCAAGGGTGATGGACGACTTGGAGGACGCTTCGTGGTGCAGATTCAAGAACGGCTCAGAGCTCGCAAAGTATCAGCCTCGTTGGCATATGACTTGAACATCCAAATTCTGGATTACAGAACGATTAACTTACATATAGAACGCTTACAGCTGTGAGCCTGAAAACTGTTGTACTTTGATGTTCGTTTCAAGCCAGTATCTTTCCTTTGGTCTCACTGTTTGACTTCTGATTGACTTTTGATTCAAATAGCTTGCATTTTTCATTTAATTCAATGTCGCTTTTGAATTACTTACACAAAATTCTGTAATCTTAGAAATCGACTCGTGTATTTTTCTTGACTTTGATTCGATTTTTCGTTTTCAGATTTTAGTTATTTCCACGGGTCTTTTCCATTGCTTAACATAATAACCAAATTTTACCGGTTTATGTCGATGCTTGCTCTTTTCAATTCTTGCAAATTCTGTTCTCAACGATGAACTTTGGTTTTTTGATCGCGATTCTGATAAATCTTTTGTGTACAAAAAATTGTAATACCGAAAAGCAAAAAGCGTTACCGTAAATACTGTAATTGTAACATGTTCAGGTATATATCCTGGTTGGAACAGGATTTGCTCAATAATTGTACCTTGTACTTGTTCTTTGAAATCGTTTTCCCTCTTAAAAACTGATACAGGGTGGCGCATTATTACCCGTACACGGGTTTTTTTTGAGTGTAACTCCCTGTAATCGAAACTGATCTTCATATTCTCTTCTTTTTTATGAAATTTAGATTGTTTTTTTATTGTTTAGTTCAAAATTGGGATACTATTCGTTTTCTTTTCACTTTTCTGTTTCTATTCGCTTATTTCTTGTTTTAGAAAGTGATTTTAGATATTTAGTGTTGTTTTTCGTATAAGTAATGTTCTGTGTCGCTGTTAGAGCATTTGGTGAAGTTTTATGCACCAAATAAATGGAATAAACAAATTATTCTCTTAAAAAGAAAACATTCCAACAAAACGCATAATTTTTTAATCAGCCTGGGGCTTTCGGAAAGGATTTGTAGTCGTTTGGCTTCTCGAAACCTTGAAATCTTTACAAAATTTGAATCTCAGTTATCGTTATCTCAGTTATCGTTGAACCACCAAGCCACTGAACCAAGCCACCAAGCCAGTGAAGCCACTCACTTTTCAAAATGCTCTAATTTCTTTATTTCATATTTTTGAAGAATATTTAGCTGAAACTTTTATACGTAATTCACCTTTTGTCACTATTCTCGCCTCCTCTACTTGCTCTGTTGAATCGCTCTCTCTATAATAGCTGTTGTGCAGCTCGATATAGCCATTCTGGACAGCGTTCCCCCGATCGATGAAATTGTAGAGAATCTCGCGAATTTCGGCAAATTTTGGCCGCTTTTTTGGGTCCAACTCGGCACAGCTATCAAACAGCGTTTTACTGGAACAAAGAACAATGAATATCGATCATAATTCTTCAAGTTTAGATGAGGATGGTAAGAATGAAAGCAGCCCACACATATCTTTTCAAAAATCAAAAGATTGAAAGCCTCAGCCAATAAGTCTTGTATACTTTTTCAAAGCCCTGAATCTCCTCTACGAAATAGTGCAAAGGATTTTTTGAATTGGATTGATTATTGGGGATTTGGGTGTTAAAAAGTAACCGCAAGTCGAGTCTCGACCTGGGACCTGCGCACTACTGGCAATTATTGCTTACCAGGGAACCTTCCCAAGTTACTCGCTAGTTACAATATGAGATAGGTGCAAAAAGAAAGGCCTGGAAATGTACGTTCAGAAGCTGTTTTCAAAAACCGCTAATCGGCAAAACGCACAAAGTTACAGCCATTTGAATTTCGAAAAAAATGAAGGCTTTTCTCGAAGGGTACCTGGCATTTTGTGCTTGCTGGTAACTAACTATAACTTATTTTTGAAAAGACATTTTATTCTTATCTGCTATACTGCTTTTATTCTCATCACCCTAATAGTTTCCATGACTTCTCCAAAAAACCCAAGTCTATCGGGCATTTCTGTTGAAAAATTAAATACCATTGTCCGATCTATTGTTAAGTCTAACTAGATTTTTGGGTTTCGGGTTCACTTCGAGTTGACTTCGAGAACCTCCGAACCACTAGTGCCGACTTTAGCCGACTTTGCCGACTTTAGCCGACTTTGCCGACTTTAGCCGACTTTGCCGACTTTAGCCGACTTTGCCGACTTTAGCCGACTTTGCCGACTTTAGCCGACTTTGCCGACTTTAATACTACTGGAATGCGATCCGGGATTGTGAAGCGATAGGAGCAACGACGATCAAGATACGAAATATCTATGAAAACGCGTTCACTTTTGCGATGACTGAAGGTGAAACGACAATTGTGTGAGCACAAAATGCCAAGTTTGTGCTCACACAATTGCCAAGCTTGTGCTCACCAAATTGCCAAGTTTGTGCTCACAAAATGCCAAGTTTGTGCTCACAAAATGCCAAGCTTGTGCTCACACAATTGCCAAGCTTGTGCTCACCAAATTGCCAAGTTTGTGCTCACACAATTGCCAAGTTTGTGCTCACCAAATTGCCAAGTTTGTGCTTACACAATTGCCAAGTTTGTGCTCACCAAATTGCCAAGTTTGTGCTTTTCAAGTTTTCTTTTCAAAAAAGATCCATGGAGGCCATAGTTACCAGCAAGCGCAGGTACCCACGTTGAGACTCGACTTGCGGTTACTTTTTAACACCCAAATCCCCAATAATCAACGCCATTCAAATTATTTTTGCACTATTTTGTAGAGGAGATTTAGGGCTTTTAAAAAGTATACAAGACTTATTGGCTGAGGCTTTCAATCTTTTGATTTTTGAAAAGATATGTGCGGGCTTGTTTCATTCTCATCATCCTAATATTATTAGTTTGAAGAATCTCACATGATTGCCGGTGATTCTTCAGGGAATTCCAATCGATTTTCCGCCTTCAAAAAATTCAAAATATCCTCCGGTGCTTGGGTCATATATGGAGCGGCGCCAAAAGTGAACAACTCGAAGAGAAGCACACCGAATGACCAGCTAAACTGAAGGATTTTGGAAGGATTATCAAATATAATCAAATCTATCAAATAAAGTATTTTTTTTGAATAGAATAAGTAAAATATTGAGTTGATTTTGGAATGTAAAGAACGATGAGAAACGTACACATCAGTTTCTTCAGCAAAAATCCCCATTTCAATCGATTCTGGAGCCATCCATTTGATGGGCAATTTGCCACCTTTTGTCTTGTAGAAGAGCTCATTGGAGAGACGGCAAAGGCCGAAGTCGCTTAGCTGAATATTTTTTATAAGAGAAAGTTATGAGCGACGTTGAAAAGCCTCTCTTGAATCCATATAAACTCCTTTTTCCCATACGCAATCGATGGAATGGAGTGACGACATCGTCTCTCATTTCCCCCAACGTCTTGGCCCTCATGTGGACCTGTGACCTCATGTGGACCTGTCTTGGCCCTCATGTGGACCTGTGACCTCATGTGGACCTGTCTTGGCCCTTATGTGGACCTGTGACCTCATGTGGGCCTGTCTTGGCCCTTATGTGGACCTGTCTTGGCCCTTATGTGGACCTGTGACCTCATGTGGACCTGTCTTGGCCCTCATGTGGACCTGTGACCTCATGTGGACCTGTGACCTCATGTGGACCTGTCTTGGCCTCATGTGGACCTGTGACCTCATGTGGACCTGTCTTGGCCCTTATGTGGACCTGTGACCTCATGTGGGCCTGTCTTGGCCCTTATGTGGACCTGTCTTGGCCCTTATGTGGACCTGTGACCTCATGTGGACCTGTCTTGGCCCTCATGTGGACCTGTCTTGGCCCTTATGTGGACCTGTGACCTCATGTGGACCTGTCTTGGCCCTCATGTGGACCTGTGACCTCATATGGACCTGTGACCTCATGTGGACCTGTCTTGGCCCTCATGTGGACCTGTGACCTCATGTGGACCTGTCTTGGCCCTTATGTGGACCTGTGACCTCATGTGGGCCTGTCTTGGCCCTTATGTGGACCTGTCTTGGCCCTTATGTGGACCTGTGACCTCATGTGGACCTGTCTTGGCCCTCATGTGGACCTGTGACCTCATGTGGACCTGTGACCTCATGTGGACCTGTCTTGGCCTCATGTGGGCCTGTCTTGGCCCTTATATGGACCTGTGACCTCATGTGGACCTGTCTTGGCCCTCATGAGTCGACTTGTGCAAATTGGTGAGTTCGAAAAGCGACAACTTTTTTTTTGCCCTACCAATACAAAAATGAATCAGCATCGAAAGGGAAAAGGGGAAAACGGGATTTTTTGAGAAGAAATAGACTGACTGACTCGTGCGACTCGTAAAAATTTCACAAAACAAAATGGATGGGATAAAAACGGAATTTCTTGATTTTCGGTGTTCGAATCCGGTTTTTGAGCTCAACTTTCTCAAACAAAATTCCCAAAGCAACGGCTTCTGACTTCTAACAAAACAACGGCTTTGCGCTTACTTTAGCCATCTTATCATCTGAAAATAGAACATTCCTCGCCGCCACATCACGATGAATCATATTTTGAGTTGCTAAGTAATTCTAAAAGGTGTATTTTAAAACAAAATATTCTGTTGACAGACCAATGCGTCGCTGATCTGCCAAGCCAATGGCACCAAATCGTCATTTGTCAGTCGATCCTGAATACAGTGTGTTGAGCTCGAATAAATACCGTAAATACTGTAATTGTACCGCACCCCCATAATGACGGTGCGGAGTGTTGCGTAGTCGAGCTTTGGACGCGTTTTTCTCGACACTGGTTTATGCTACAATGCGCGCTTAGGTATCAAAAAATAGCCCTGAATTTCAGCTATTTTTTGATACCAAAGACGCATTTTTTGAAACTACGGGCGCTTTGAAAACAAACGAAATACTAAAAAACTTTTGCGACTACGCGACTGTACGATGGGGAACGATTACAGCATTGTACGGTGGGGTACTATTATAGTATTTATGGTAATTCTTTTTAAGATCTATTTGGATAATTTTGAGGGGAGAATTCTTATAGCAGAGGCTCGGAGTTATAGCTCTTCAAAGATGGAGAGAAATTTGCGATAGGTGAGAGGTGATAATCTTTGGTCTAGTACTGTCTATGGGAATCCCAAAAGAAAAAGAATCATTTCTCAAGGTTGATTTGATTTAATGGTTGATTTTGATTTTCCAATGTCTACTATTAGGTTGATGCATAAGTCTTTTCGTTTTTTTCGTACTTCTGTTAAAAAGTAACAAATTCACCAATTAATCTATAGTTTGCTCTATAAAAAAAGTGTTTTTTTGTTCAATTTGCATCTTTTTAAATCAATTTCGGTTCACTTTCAAGCAAATTCGAGAGTGAAAAACGCCTTTTTCGTAAAAATCTATAAAAAACTCTACGGAAAAATTGGCTGAATGAATTTCTCTGAAATTTTGGCGAAATATCAAACGTTTTTTTTCTCTATCTTTTATCTATTGACACGAAGATAGGTTTTCTTTAGCTAAGGTGTCTAAACCGCATCATCGAGTTAGCCCTTTTTGACTACCCGACTTCATACTCTCAAGAAAATCCAGGCATTAAATATTTTTAAACCCGTTTTAATGTTATTTTGCAGAAAAATAATTGGTTTTTCTAATGAAATCAACCGTAGTTTAATTGGTGCATTTGTTGGCTTGAAACGGCAGACGAAAAGGAACGAAAAGACTTATGCATCAACCTAATACTAATCACCTGCGAATCGTCGTCCCTTTTCGATTTTCTCAACAAACTCAACAAATCTCCCTTGCTGCACAATTGCATGATAATCAATGGCGTGTCGGGATCCTTTGAACAGCCCAACATTGTCAGAATATGCGGGTGCACTTTCAATGTTTTCATGAAATCGATTTCCTGTATGATATCGGCTCTGAAATGCTTTGGATTTGTTCAATTTGATCCACAAAATCGGATAAATTCCAACTTGTCTTGATCACTCGCTATTTGATGGGGCATTTTGATGGCGACCGTGTGCTCATCGTCCAGATATATTGAAGCAATCTAGAAAGCGAATATAGCGAATGCTTTAAAGGAAACACCTGCTATCCTACTATAAATATAAAGAAATAAGACGTCTGTCCGTCTGTCTGTCTGTCTCGGATTTAGATCTCGGCCTCAGTGGCCCGTTTTTGATGCGCTTTCTTTTTCTGAGTAGATTAATGAAAGTAGATTAATTAAAAATAAAGGTGTTCAAGGGTTTTTTGAAAAAATGCTAAACGTGCGAGATCTGGCGCACAGAAGTCACCAAAATAGCTCTATATCTCGACCTCCAGTGAGCCAATTTGTATACGGTTTTTGCATTAGGTAGAGCTAAAAAAAGAGTTGGGGGGTACGGATTTTTTTCCGTTTTTTGATAGCCTGTCTCTGCGGTGAGATAAGAAGCTTTTTTTGCAAAAGTTCTCTGTTGCGCAGTCGGTAGGGGACCGCAGTTCATGGGGGGCGCAGTTCATGGGGGGCGCAGTTCATGGGGGCGCAGTTCATGGGGGGCGCAGTTCATGGGGGGCGCAGTTCATGGGGGGCGCAGTTCATGGGGGCGCAGTTCATGGGGGGCGCAGTTCATGGGGGGCGCAGTTCATGGGGGCGCAGTTCGTGGGGGGCGCAGTCGGTGGGGGCGCAGTTCGTGGGGGGCGCAGTTCGTGGGGGGCGCAGTTCATGGGGACGCAGTTCATGGGGGGAGGGCAGCTGGGCACTACAAGTACAAAATGCGATGACGATCACTCAAAAATCCGATTACATCAAAATGTTGTGTGCACTCCAGATAAGCTTTCGGCAAAAAAACTAAAAAATTCAGAACGACAGAAAAAAAGTTATGGAAGCAGGAAGTTTTTTTGTCTAAAAAGTGCCCTAACTACCGTAGTCCGCGGATCACCAAAGGTGGTTTCACGCCAAAAATTGACCTAATTACCGTAACTAAAGCAACTATTCCTCATTCACAAAAAGAAACTCGGTACTAATAAAGTTGGGGGGAGGGGCGCGCTATTTTTTTTTCGGGTTTTTTTTCTTCAAAACCACTTTTCCTAGGGTAGTTTTATGCGTAGATTCCGAAAAATTCCGAAAATTTTCCGTAGATTCCGAAAATGATTACATTTCTGATCAAATTGCGGCAAAATAAAAAAAAATATTTTTTCAACTTTCGACCATGTGGTCAAAATTCGTCGAAAATCTCAAAAATTGTTTTTTCTTCAATTTTTGTACTGCCTCTAGCAGTCAATTTAAATTAGAAAACGAATATTTAGTGGTTTAAAATGGTTTTGGCTCTAGTTTTGACCTTGAAAAGTGCCCCAATAGTCGATAGCTTTGGCTCCATCTAGTGAAGTACACTAAGAAAGAACAATATAAATATTGTTTTTGAATTTGGGGTCAAGACTTGTTTACAACCTAATAAAAGTCTAAACTAAATCAAACTGATGATTTCGAGTCCATCAAAGGGTATATTTTGTATCATGTACAAATCGTAAAATAAGCTCAAATTTAGATATTCATGGGTCTAGATCTAGACATGAATCTAGACATGATCTAGACATGATCTAGACATGAAACTAGACATGATCTAGACATGAATCTATGCATGATCTAGACATGATCTAGACATGGACCTAGACATGGATCTAGACATGGACCTAGACATGGACCTAGACATGGATCCAGACACGGATCTAGACATGATCTAGACATGATCTAGACATGAATCTAGACATGATCTAGACATGGACCTAGACATGATCTAGACATGAATCCAGACATGATCTAGACATGATCTAGACATGATCTAGACACGGATCTAGACATGGATCTAGACACGGATCTAGACATGATCTAGACATGATCTAGACACGGATCTAGACATGATCTAGACATGATCTAGACATGATCTAGACATGATCTAGACATGATCTAGACATGATCTAGACATGAATCTATGCATGATCTAGACATGATCTAGACACGGATCTAGACATGATCTAGACATGATCTAGACATGATCTAGACATGATCTAGACATGATCTAGACATGAATCTAGACATGATCTAGACATGAATCTAGACATGAATCTAGGACAAAGCCCATACATTCAATCGTGGATAGATCTTGGCGACGGGTGGGAGTCCCTTGAGGATTCCCCTGTACACAACAGCATACGCTCCGGCGCCCAATTGATGAGTGGAAATGAAGAGATCATTGCGTTCCACCTCCCATGCATCCACCTCATCCGGGGAGAGGACGTTGATGCTAGAAATCGATATGTTTTAGTGAATGGATCCGAAAATCTCGGTGCGCCTGACTTTCGCTTTTTCGAATTGAGTTCTTGACGTAGGAAAGTCAAGCATTAACCAATCCAGCTTTGACTGGATTGGTCAATGCCTCAATCCAGGCTTTGACTGGATTGGTTAATGTCTCAATCCAGGCTTTGACTGAATTGTTTAAGGCCTCAATCCAGTTTTGACTGGATTGGTCAATGCCTCAATCCAGCTTTGACTGAATTGTTTAAGGCCTCAATCCAGTTTTGACTGGATTGGTCAATGCCTCAATCCAGCTTTGACTGAATTGTTTAAGGCCTCAATCCAGTTTTGACTGGATTGGTCAATGCCTCAATCCAGCTTTGACTGGATTGTTTAATGCCTCAATCCAGGCTTTGACTGGATTGGTTAATGTCTCAATCCAGGCTTTGACTGAATTGTTTAAGGCCTCAATCCAGTTTTGACTGGATTGGTCAATGCCTCAATCCAGCTTTGACTGGATTGTTTAATGCCTCAATCCAGGCTTTGACGGGATTGTTTAATACCTCAATCCAGACTTTGACTGGATTGGTTAATGTCTCAATCCAGGCTTTGACACTTATTCTAGATCACCATTCAAAATGTCGAAAGTTTTTCAATAGTAACGGAAAAAGTCGATAATTTTGTTGTTTTTTTGGCCCGATTTAGCTGATTTTGGTGTCATTAGATGCAGAATTCGCTTCTCTATCAAAATCCGATTAAAAATAACAAAGTTATTGGTTTTTTTCAGTGACTGTACTGTACTATTGACGTACTTTCGACGTTTTTGAATGGGGAGCTCTGTTCACCTCAACCCTGTAAATCTTGGCATGAGTCGATAGAGATAAACGATGATCGTTGTGATGAGGAGAATCAACGAAACACTCATCCCAAGTACAATCCAAAGCCACGGAATCGATTCACCGATCTTTTCTGCTTCTCCTTTTGCCGCTAAATAGATTTTTTAAAGAAAAGGTCGTTGAGGTTAAATGGAAAAAAAACAACTAACTGCTCTTCCCAGCACTGATGAAGGCAAGCGCTCCATTGTGCGCAGAGGAGCTGGTCGGAGCCCAGGACAACTTCAAATTAGTCGGGTGACGTAGTGGCAAAAGAAAACAAAATCCCCACCACAATGCTGGTCACGTTTTTCAGCGAGAATTCCCGTGGCCAATCGTAGTCACTCGATGAGACGATTCTAAAAAGTAACTATCGTATTTTCTCGAATAGTAGTGCACCCCGGCGAGCCGAGTTGATGGCTATTTTACGGTTTCCAAGCTTTTGCAGAAGCTCAACACTCTAATCCTCCACTAGATCTCATCGTCAGCTACATTTTCGGACCCCACATCGATAGGTTCTGATAAGCGGTTCTCGAGATTTCGAGCAATTTAGGCGACGCTCAGGGAGCGCTACTATTAGAGAAAATACGGTAAATAATTTTTTTTCCAGGTTTCTTGGCTATCTAAATATCGCGTAAGATTCCAATTATTTTACAAGAAGGAACCAAATAGGAACTAAATAGGAACCAAATAGGAATCAAATAGGAACCAAATAGGAATCAAATAGGAACCAAATAGGAATCAAATAGGAACCAAATAGGAACCACAAAGAACTACATAGGTTCTCAATCTCTTGTCGTTCACTGAGAGGTGTCTGTCCTTTTTGTAGATCAAAGAAACACCGAGAAACGTCATTTTAAAGAGCTGAAAGTGATGCAAAAATTCGACTACGCTACGCACCTATGCCATGGATTCAAATAGAGAAACCAAATCCTGTTTTTAGGCAAATGACACCGCTCCTTTCTTCCTTGCCACAGTGAAGAGAATGAGCGGCTCGTTGAGGGTTCAGGCGCACAAAGGCGCTCAAGGGGCCGCTTGTATGACTTCTCCATACGAACAACAAAAGTGTGCAGTTAACAAAGTTACTAATACAAAAAAATGTCTAGACTACTAGATTAGATAGAACTAGATTCTTTTGGTGCTGACACAGAAAAAATTTTTGCCTTAACCCACCGAAGCTACTCTTGAACCCTTCCTACATTCAGTTTAAGCCTTTTCGAGATCTCGTGGCACTTTACGGCGAATTGTGTGTCGGTGAGTGAAACAAACTTTCACATTTTCTCTAATAGTAGTGCGCCCGGGCGAGCCGAGTTGATGGCTATTTTACGGTTTCCAAGCTTTTGCAAAAGCTCAACACTCTAATCCCCCACAAGATCTCATCGTCAGCTACATTTTCCGACCCCACATCGATAGGTTCTGATAAGCGGTTCTCGAGATTTCGAGCAATTTAGACGACGCTCAGGGAGCGCTACTATTAGAGAAAATACGGTATGTTAATTCGGATATCTCTTTAAATTTAAACATTAAAGATTAATCAGTTAAAGAAACGTCTATTTTAAACTCTTAACTCACGTTTCATTCGTTTTTTCGCCATGTTTCTCTGTGATACGCAGTGTCCCATCAAAGAAATGTGCCACTTTGACGGTCACATCCAACAAATACTCAACTGAATGTACAGGGTGGCGAAAATTTCTGTTTTCAACATTTTCAGGTATCTATCCTGGTTGGAACAGGATTCTCTCCATAATTGTACCTTGTACAATTCTTTGAAATTGTTTTCCCTGTTAAAAACTGATACAGGGTGATGCATTATTACCCGTACACGGTTTTTTTTTGAGTGTAACTCCCTGCAATCGAAACGGAACTTCATATTCTCTTCTTTTTTTATGAAATTTAGATTGTTTTTTTATTGTTTAGTTCAAAATTGGGGTACTATTCGTTTTCTTTTCACTTTTCTTTTTTTATTCGCTTATTTCTTGTTTTAGAAAGAGATTTTAGATATTTAGTGTTATTTTTCGTATAAGTAATGTTCTTTGTCGCTGTTAGAGCATTTGGTGAAGTTTTATGCACCAAATAAATGCAATAAACAAATTATTCACTTAAAAAGAAAACATTCCAACAAAACGCATACCGTAAATACTGTAATATTAGGTTGATGCAAAAGTCTTTTTCATTTTTTTCGTACTTCTGTTAAAAAGTAACAAATTCACCAATTAATCTATAGTTTGCTCTATAAAAAAAGTGTTTTTTTGTTCAATTTGCATCTTTTTAAATGAATTTCGGTTCACTTTCAAGCAAATTCGAGAGTGAAAAACGCCTTTTTCGTAAAAATCTATAAAAAACTCTACGGAAAAATTGGCTGAATGAATTTCTCTGAAATTTTGGCGAAATATCAAACTTTTTTTTTTCTCTATCTTTTATCTATTGACACGAAGATAGGTTTTCTTTAGCTAAGGTGTCTAAACCGCATCATCGAGTTAGCCCTTTTTGACTACCCGACTTCATACTCTCAAGAAAATCCAGGCATTAAATATTTTTAAACCCGTTTTAATGTTATTTTGCAGAAAAATAATTGGTTTTTCTAACGAAATCAACCGTAGTTTAATTGGTGCATTTGTTGGCTTGAAACGGCAGACGAAAAAAATGAAAAAGACTTTTGCATCAACCTAATAGTACCCCACCCCCATCATGACGGTGGGAAGTGTTGCGTAGTCTAGCTTTGAACGAGTTTTTCTCGACACTGGTTTATGCTACAATGTGCGCTTAGGTATCAAAAAATAGCCCTGAATTTCAGCTATTTTTTGATACCAAATTTTTTGAAAGTACGGGCGCTTTGAAAACAAACGAAATACTAAAAAACTTTTGCGACTACGCGACTGTACGAGGGGGTGGGGTTCTATTACAGTATTTACGGTGGTCGCTTCATCAGTCTGGGGCTTTCGGAAAAGATTTGTAGTCGTTTGGCTTCTCGACGCTTTGACGCCCCTTTGACGGTCACATCCAATACTCAACTGAATGTACAGGGTGGCGAAAATTTCTGTTTTCAACATTTTCAGGTATCTATCCTGGTTGTAACAGGATTCTCTCCATAATTGTACCTTGTACAATTCTTTGAAATTGTTTTCCCTGTTAAAAACTGATACAGGGTGATGCATTATTACCCGTACACGGTTTTTTTTGAGTGTAACTCCCTGCAATCGAAACGGAACTTCATATTCTCTTCTTTTTTTATGAAATTTAGATTGTTTTTTTATTGTTTAGTCCAAAATTGGGGTACTATTCGTTTTCTTTTCACTTTTCTTTTTTTATTCGCTTATTTCTTGTTTTAGAAAGAGATTTTAGATATTTTTTGCATTTTATTTTTCTCTTTGGATCGATACTGTGCTGTCTGTCATCCATTAAGGGTGGGTTTTTACTTGAAAATGTATTTATATTTAAAATTCTGAAAACAAGCTGCTAGGCGAACGCTAGGGTTAATCTGGGGTCGAGTCGGATGATATTCTTGATAAATGGAAATTTTTTTGATCTGTCTTCGCACTCAGATGTTCCTATTTGCGCAGATCACAACCTGCTTCCACATTTCTCTATCCCTTGCTATTGTCATCCAGTGTTTCCTAGCTTGATTGTTCCTGGTTCGAAGTCTTGCTGGTGCTGGTGGTGGTTGCACTCTAGCCATCCTTTCTCTGCCGTTTCTGCCACTCTTGTGCTCCACCTCGTTGCTGCTCTTCTGGGCCTCTTCTGTTCTCGTGGTAGCCACTCTGTGATCCGTATCGTCCATCTGTCGTCTGTTCTTCTGGCTACGTGGCCGGCCCATCTGAGGCTTCTTCTCTCGAACAATTCCACTGGATCTCTGAGTTGCTGATCTTCTGGGCTTCTTCTGGTCTCGTGGTAGCCACTCTGTGATCCGTATCGTTCATCTGTCGTCTGTTCTTCTGGCTACGTGGCCGGCCCATCTGAGTCTTTTTCTCTCAATCACTTCCACTGGATCTCTGAATCCCGAGAGCTGACGCATATCCGTACTTTTTAGATATCTAGTTTTTGTTTTTTGTTATATTTTAGAAAAATGTTATATTTTCGTTATGTTCAATGATTTTTAAATGATTTTAAAGGTATCTATAAAAATCTCTTGAGAATTAACAAAAGATCAATGATCGAATTTTCGTTTCATAATTTTGGGGACATTCTGTAAAAAGAAAAATTAGTTAAAACCAATGACTTTCGTTTAAAAAGTCAAGATTGACAAGATTATGTTCAATGATTGTTAAATGATCAAGACTAAATGCCATTTTTTGGTTTCAAAAACGTACTACAAATGATTTCGTGCGTCAGCGAGTCTCCGGGGTCGAACGGATTCGAAGTGTCCATATAGCCGACGGTGGTGAACATTACTCTCCCGTCGCATAGACTTTGCACAATACTTTCTAAAGCAACCATGTGAACAAAGCGAAATTGATGAGAGAAATTTGATTTTTTGAATCGAATTAACTCGTGCAAAACGTTCACTTTCGTTCACTTTCGTTCGCGAAATCGCAAAGCTTTGGATGATAACTTTGGATGCAATTTTAGATGATAAGGTGGCGCAACTATGTATAGGGTGACGCAGAATTACCCGCACAAGATATCATCCGATTTTGAACCGCTCCTTAAAGAAAGATGACATAAAAACATTAAATTTTTATTTCTTGAACATTTATCAAACAATAAAATTCTTTTTTCTCAAAAAGATTTCCCTTAGCGGCCGCGCAAGGCTTGAAGACAAGCTTGAAGACGTTTTGGGAAAGCAGCAACGGTGGTGGAAAGATATTAGGTACATGCATAAGAAATGCGGATTTCAACATTTTCATAAATTTCCAACAATAGAAACCTGATATCGAGAAATGTTATAAACTATTTGAAAGTTGTAAATGTAATTGTAATTGTAAATCTCCTTTACAAAATAGGCTAAAACGTGTTTCAATTGATCGAACCATTGAAGAAATTTCGAGGGCGAAATGCGAGTGACCAAAAAAGGAATCGAGTCACTTTAGGGACAAGTTTAGTGTGGTCAAAGTAGAGTTAGCTTTCCAAAACAATTGATCCTTGTGACCCACGGTAGTCGATCGTTGTGACCCACTGCAGTCGATCGTTGTGACCCAACGCAGTCGATCGTTGTGACCCACTGCAGTCGATCGTTGTGACCCAACGCAGTCGATCGTTGTGACCCACTGCAATCGATCGTTGTGGCCCAACCAGTCGATCCTTGTGACCCACTGCAGTCGATCCTTGTGACCCAACGCAGTCGATCCTTGTGACCCAACGCAGTCGATCGTTGTGGCCCACTGCAGTCGATCGTTGTGGCCCACTGCAGTCGATCGTTGTGACCCACTGCAGTCGATCGTTGTGACCCAACGCAGTCAATCGTTATGGCCCAAGCAGTCGATCGTTGTGGCCCAACGCAGTCGATCGTTGTGGCCCACTGCAGTCGATCGTTGTGACCCACTGCAGTCGATCGTTGTGGCCCAACCAGTCGATCGTTGTGGCCCAACGCAGTCGATCGTTGTGGCCCACTGCAGTCGATCGTTGTGACCCACTGCAGTCGATCGTTGTGGCCCAACCAGTCGATCCTTGTGACCCACTGCAGTCGATCGTTATGGCCCAACCAGTCGATCGTTGTGACCCAACGCAGTCGATCGTTGTGGCCCACTGCAGTCGATCGTTGTGACCCACTGCAGTCGATCGTTGTGGCCCAACCAGTCGATCCTTGTGACCCACTGCAGTCGATCGTTGTGACCCAACGCAGTCGATCGTTATGGCCCAACCAGTCGATCGTTGTGACCCACTGCAGTCGATCGTTGTGACCCACTGCAGTCGATCGTTGTGACCCAACGCAGTCGATCGTTATGGCCCAACCAGTCGATCGTTATGGCCCAACCAGTCGATCGTTGTGACCCAACGCAGTCGATCTTGCACTTTCTTCAAATTAGCTTTGGTGACCGCTGTTAGTTTCGCACCGCGTTCACTTTGGTCAGAAATTGCTCCTAGAGCTCGATAGCGTTTGATTGTATCGTAAACTGTTCGTCTAGGCACAATCAACCGTCGAGAGATCTCTTGTGACGAGAAATCGTCGAGAGAACCTTCCTCTTGTGAAAAGCAATAATTAAATCCCGATGGATTGAAGCTTTCACCATTCTGGAAACAAAACTTATACAGGAAAACAATAAAAAACAAGTCAAATATAACTAAAAAAAGCATGAAAATATTTAAAAAATGATTTCTTGCTGCTTTTGCAACGTGAAAGTGTGTGCGTTGCCTTGTGCGGGTAATTCTGCGCCACCCTGTATTAGCTGAGAGCAGGTAAAATTCTCATTCATTCATTCATTCTCATTCACTCATTCAAACCCAATTAAAAACCTATTCAAATAGGCAATATTCGGGTTGAAAACCATGAATAAGATTGCTAGCTCATCTCTCAGCTCAGCTAGCTATGAGATTTAAAGGATGGTTGTTAAGAAAGAAATTTCCTACTTGATGCCAATTCTATCGGTTCCATTGTAAAAATTGGTGTGCATCCGGGCGGAACTTGGAAAGCGTAGACACGATTGATCAGATATTGATCGACAAAAGTCTCGTTTTCACTATAAAATTTTGTGATTTAAAAGTTTGTTATCGATTTTCGGGACCAATTGATTTTGAATGTCAAGTTGTATTTCCCCTAGCCGTCTCGAATCTTTTAGAGGAATGAGGTAATGGAAAGGGAATGGAGAGGGAATGGAAAGGGAATGGAAAGGGAATGGAAAGGGAATGGAAAGGGAATGGAGAGGGAATGGAAAGGGAATGGAGAGGTAATGGAAAGGGAATGGAGAGGTAATGAAAAGGGAATGGAAAGGGAATGGAGAGGGAATGGAAAGGGAATGGAAAGGGAATGGAGAGGGAATGGAAAGGGATTCAAAAAAAAATTGATCAATAGAAGAGTCAGTAGGCGTTTCTCGGTAAACTATCAAATTCGGTGAGTTAACTTGATCAACCAAAACTCACTTGATGTTCATAAGAAATCGATCACCGGCCGACTGATCGGGTGAGTGAATAAAGAGATTGTATGAGCAGTTTACGTTTCCTTTTTTTGCCTTAAAAGATTTTTCAACTCAAGAACAGAAATCCAAATACAAACGCTGTTTATTGCTTTTAAAAGCTTTGGTTCATCGCCGAAGACGAACGAGAGCCACGTGGTTTGATTCGATTTTTTGACGGGAAAACTTTTCGCTCCATTGGGAAGCACTTTGTATTGTGATGAATCTGGGGATAAACATGTTTTTGAAATTTTAAAATTCACCTTTAACAAGGTCGAGCACGGCGATTGAAAGAGCACTTTTATTCAGTGCGAAATCATTTTGTGGATCTCTATTCCAGGTAATGAACAAATTGTCGGCACGGGCGACCAGGCCGCAACTCACAAAGAGTGTTCCATCGGGCAAAATGAAGCTGGAAAGAGAATACCATAGCTCCTTTTTCTTTACAACTTTTACATCAGTTTTAAACTGCCAAAATCCCGTTTCTCAGCGTTTATTTTAACCTACAGGAATGATGGCCCACTGAAGCTGTTATTGAGAAATAAAAGACTTTTTCAACAGGAATCTCAAAGCTTTGTCTCAAGGCCGTTTCAAGGTTTAAAAGTACGCGAGATTAGTTTCAAATCTCTTGAGTAATATATCAAAATGTTGCTAAGAGTCTAGAAAATCTAAATATATGCATGCAATTTTTGAGACAATGACTGAAATTTCTGAAAGATCTTATTGCGATTCTTGTGCTTTTCAAAAAATGCACTTTGCTCGCTGCTTTTTTTTTAAAGTTTAGTCCAGAATATTTTTGCGAAGAATGCTCAGAAGATTAAAATCACAAAAGCAAAAGTGCTTCAAATTTTGGTACGAATTTTTTAAAATTTAAAAATTGAGTGTATAAGCTCATATTTGGCTGGCTTTTAGACTGTTTTTGCTTTTTTTAAGAGAGAAAAAATGAGAGTCACAAAGAATACAATTTTTTTTAAAATCGTTACTTTGAGCCAAATTCTAAACTATTTAAGTAAGAAAACATTTAGAGAAACATTTTAGAGCAAAAATTTAAAAACTTAGCTGAAGAAATCAAAATTCTACTTGTATGAGAAGCTTAGAATTGAACTTGGGAAAAGTTTCTTTCTTGTAAAGCACAAGAATCGCAATAAAATCTTTCAGTGAAAGTTTCAGTGAGTGAGAAACCTTCGGTGAACCAAAAAGAATAAGCTACTGCATCTAAAATACTTTATCTGAAAGGAGAAAAGTGGAAACACGAAATGAAATTGAAATATTTGTCTAGAAAATACTGTATTGTCGTGGCTAAGAAGTATTGTCGCGTGCTTAAACGCGTGTTACTCTAGCCACGACAATACTTCTTAGCCACGACAATACTTCTTAGCCACGACAATACAGTATTTTCTAGACAAATATTTCAATTTCATTTCGTGTTTTCACTTTTCTCCTTTTAGATAAAGTATTTTAGATGCAGTAGCTTATTTTTTTTTTGATTCACCGCTGTGCACCGAATGCTTGACGGTTGTCCGGCCTAATCCCTCAAACAAAAAACAACCTCGTTTTGCATTCAGTCCCACTCAGACTTGCATCAGTCGGATTAACCCATAACGGCGGTTCATCGTTGACAAGTTTGCACTCCGCTAGTTGGGTCGCCTAAAAGTGCAGTGATTTATGTGAAACGACTCAGAGAATAGTGCTCACCGCACAATAATATGTGAATTCGATGGTCAAAGTGCAGTTGGCACAAGGCTGAATACAGAGTGCCTGATCGGATGCTAAATGCGAAAATTTTCTTTTGCAATTCTCGGAAATTTTCGGGCACTTGTTAGGGATCGAAGATCGGTAGATGGGATGGCAACGAATGGGGCGTCGTTCAGTGAGTAGGTTAGCGCACAGCTCGTCACCCCTTTGCCCTCTTCGATGATCATCAAATAGCCGGACTTGACCGTTATCGGATTTTCCATTTGGTAGAGTGACTGAATTTGAATATTTAGATATGCTTTTGGTCTGCTTTTAACAATCAACACAACGGGGGGCATGTACTAGGTTGATGCAAAAGAAAACGCTTCTTTACAAATATTAAATTTAATCAAAATTCCTTTAGGTAATAATTTATTCGAAACAATAAACACCATCGTTTTCTATAAAATCCCTTCAACGTTGCTTTTGATTGCCGATTCCCTTATCAAAGAACCCTTGGTTCTGTGATTGAAAGTAGTCGGTCATCCAAATTTCGACCTCTTGCGCATTCTTAAACTGGCAATTCGCAAGGGAATGTTGCATCGATCTGAAGAGGTGAAAATCAGATAGTGATAAGTCTGAACTATTAGGTGTGTGAGAAAGTAATCCACGTTTTTTATTTTTATTTTGTTTAAATAAATATATCTATAATTTTTTTGTTGACGATATATATATCGTTTAAAAGCTTATTTTTTCCTCTTTCGAATGATACATTTATTTTGTTAAAAGGACGACAATAAACTACTTTCGTTTTAGTTTGAAAATGGTATATACAAGTATCGTTATTCGGTCAAATTTGCTTTATGAGTTCAAAAATGGGTTGAAAGCTGCGGAGGCTGCACGTCGAATTCGGAATGCGTTTGGCGAAGACGCCGTTATTGATGATACCGCTAGGTTTTGGTTCCGACGATTCAAAGGTGGTAATGAAAGTCTAGAAGATGAACCATGTGGCGGTCGCCCTGAGACCTGTTCTGATGACCAAATAAGACGCTGTCTTCTCGAAAACCCTCGTTCAACCTCTTCAGAAATAGGTCTTACATTAAATTGTGATGGATCAACCGTAAGGAAACGCTTGAATGCCATGAATTTTATTTAACGAAACTTATGGTCTATTATATTTAAACGTTAAAAACGTGGATTACTTTTTCACACACCTAATATATGGCGCATGCGGTAAGACCTTTCATCTAGATTCCTCTAACTCCATACAAGCTTTGTGTGAGCTGACACGTTGTCACGGAGAAAATTAACAGTCGAGGGATTTAAACACTTTTGACGCAAAATTTGGTCAACCTTCTTGAGCTGTTGAATAAAACAAGGTGAATCAACTGTTTTTCCGGGCCATAATAATTCAAAATAAACAAGCCCGTTGATATTCCACCAGCAAGACAACATCACTTTGTGCCCATAATGATCCTTTGGAGGTGGAATTGGTATTTAACCCTTGCTGAGCCATTGCAATGCATTGTCTTTTTCGAGAAGTGTTATCAAAGTGAATCCACTTCTCGTCCATCGTCAAGATATTTTCAAAAATTACTTCTTTTCGACTTGAGAAGCAAGATATGGCTAATCGAAATGCGTGCTCCCTGATCCTCGGTGCACAATTGATGTGGAACCCATCGTTCATTACGATTGGTCTTTCCGATTATTTCCAAATGGCGGGACAATTGTTGATTGATCACTTTGCAGATGATCACATTTATGTTGGAGAGCTCTCGTGTTGTTTGCATTGGATCAGCTTCAATAAGTGGTTTCAATTCATTATTATCGATCGCTGCCGAGTGAGGCTCATGTGGCTTGCCTTCAAGAGATTCAACACCTTCTCAGAATCGGGCAAACCAGAGCTGGCAGGATCTTTTGGTCACAACTTGTTCTCCAAAAGCGGAACAGAGATCACGATGTGATTCGTCAGCGCGCGCGCAACTAACTTTTGATCCACCATGATTTAAAGCAAATATCAATTGAAAAGTGAAAACTCTGACTTAGAAAAAGCGTAAAAATAAAGTAAATATCGAAGAGTGCAAATATACAAAAGAAAATCAAATAAGATTTTTAGATTTTAAAAAATAGAACATAGAACGATCAGAATTTCTTTTGTATCAACCTAGTAGAAACAGAAATAAAGAATACCGTATTTTCTCTAATAGTAGCGCTCCCTGAGCGTCGCCTAAATTGCTCGAAATCTCGAGAACCGCTTATCAGAACCTATCGATGTGGGCTCGGAAAATGTAGCTGACGATGAGATCTAGTGGAGGATTAGAGTGTTGAGCTTCTGCAAAAGCTTGGAAACCGTAAAATAGCCATCAACTCGGCTCGCCGGGGTGCACTACTATTAGAAAAAAATACGGTATGTGAAAGTTTGTTTCACTCACCGACACACAATTCGCCGTAAAGTGCCACGAGATCTCGAAAAGGCTTAAACTGAATGTAGGAAGGGTTCAAGAGTAGCTTCGGTGGGTTAAGGCAAAAATTTTTTCTGTGTCAGCACCAAAAGAATCTAGTTCTATTAGGTTGGCAAAAAAGAAATGAGCGTCGTGTTTGTTGATTTGTATTTTATTCACAGTAAAAGATTTTTTTAAATAGTTTATTCTATTGGAAAGAGTGTGTTCTTGCGCATCGTTTGATATATAATTTTTCTATGTTTACTTTGTTTTTTACAAGAAAGAGTGTTTAGAAAATGGCGGACCAAAAATTTCGCTTGCGGGCCTGCTTGTGGTATGAATTTAAGCAAGGCAAATCGGCTGCTGAAGCTCATCGCGCTCTATCTCAAGTGTTTGACGAAGATACTCTATCCGAAAGTCAGTGTAAACGATGGTTCCAGCGCTTCCGAGACGGCGACGAAAGCTTGGGAGACCAAAAACACGGGAGTCGACCTCGAATCATCGACAACGACGCATTGAAGGCAGCCATTGAGTCGGATCCACGCCAAACCACTCGCGGCCTGGCAGAACAGTTCGGCTGCACTCATGTCACCATTGAGAACCCTCTGCATGGCATGGGCAAGACGAATAGATGCGGAAAATGGGTACCGCATAAGCTATCCGACGCAAACAAGGTGACACGCATCGCAATCGCCGGAATTCTCACTCACCGCGCCAAGAACAGTGGGTTTTTCGACTCCATTGTTACGTCAGATGAGAAGTGGATCCAATACGACAACACAGCAAGAAAGCGGCACTGGTCGGACCCCGGTGAAGCTCCAAAACCGGACATCCACGGAAAAAAGGTGATGCTTTGTGTTTGGTGGAACAGTAAAGGCCTGGTGTACTTTGAGGTTCTGGATTCGGGTCAAACCGTTACGGCGAACCTCTACCAAGGCCAATTGGACCGCGTGGACCAGGCGCTGCGACGTCAAGGTGTGGATACGGCGTCGACAAAATTCCTCCACGACAACGCTCCGCCGCATGTCGCAAAAATCATCCCGCAGAAAATTGAAGAAATGGGCTGGGAAGTCCTGCCTCATCCGCCATACAGCCCAGACTTGGCGCCTTCCGACTACCATCTGTTCCGATCAATGCACCACTTCAAGCCGAGAAAAAGTTCAAGAACCGCGACGAGGTCCAAATTTGGGTGTCCAACTCCTTCGAGTCGCAGCCGGTCGAGTTCTTCAAGAAGGGCATCCATTCTCTGCGTGAACGTTGGTGACAAGTCATTGATGCAGATGGCGAATACCTTTTGGATTAATGTATTGTTATCTTGTTTTTATAATAAAATAAACTTTTAACAAAAACGCGCATTTCTTTTTTACCAACCTAATATCTAATCTAGTAGTCTAGACATTTTTTTGTATTAGTAACTTTGTTAACTGCACACTTTTGTTGTTCGTATGGAGATGTCATACAAGCGGCCCCTTGAGCGCCTTTGTGCGCCTGAACCCTCAACGAGCCGCTCATTCTCTTCACTGTGGCAAGGAAGAAAGGAGCGGTGTCATTTGCCTAAAAACAGGATTTGGTTTCTCTATTTGAATCCATGGCATAGGTGCGTAGCGTAGTCGAATTTTTGCATCACTTTCAGCTCTTTAAAATGACGTTTCTCGGTGTTTCTTTGATCTACAAAAAGGACAGACACCTCTCAGTGAACGACAAGAGATTGAGAACCTATGTAGTTCTTTGTGGTTCCTATTTGGTTCCTATTTGGTTCCTATTTGGTTCCTATTTGGTTCCTATTTGATTCCTATTTGGTTCCTATTTGATTCCTATTTGATTCCTATTTGATTCCTATTTGGTTCCTATTTAGTTCCTATTTGGTTCCTATTTGATTCCTATTTGGTTCCTATTTAGTTCTTTGTACTTCATTTTCTGCGTTCTCAATTTCTGTTTTCTGATATCTATATCTTTATAAACAACGAGTGGGCTTGATAAGGATACAGCTGGGACTTTGATAACTGTACGTTTACGTACAGCTATTTTACGTTTTGTCTGAATGTCTGAGTGTCTGAGTTTCCCTTTCTGTTTCTTTTGTGTTTAAAAAGTTTTTTTTAGGGTAGTTAGGGTAAGAAAAAAAAATACTTGACGCTTTTATGGGAATGTCGGCAGAAAGCCATCATTTTTCCGATGATTTCAAAAGGAGAAAACTTACATAATTAACGATTTCTCCCCCAATCCCAACATTTATTGCCCCATCTTGTGCATAGTAGTCTATCTTTTCTCGTAGATCGTGAGTCCAGGGATAGTATGGAGGGGTCCAGATCGAATACCCATTCATATTCAAGTAGCTTTCATTTAGATTATAGATGTGGGCTAAAGTTAGCATCAAGTGATGGTATAGGTGAATCGATTGAATACGTGAATCTCTTGTGTCAAAGCGGAGACAGAAGCCACAATCCTCGTTGGGAAACATTGTGCCAGCGGTGGAAGTGATGTAGGCTTTGAATGCACCAGCTCTGTAATCCAAAGAAATCCAAAGCATTGGTTTTTGCTATCACTTTATCGATTTGATATCAGACAAATTCCGTTGCTCTATCAAACCTTTCATCGGCCAAATGATGATCCGAATTTAGTGAATAGCCGGGATCCGCACCGACAAAGCTCGAATAAATTGTTGTTGGAGGACAAGTGATTGATCCCTAAAATTAGAATCATTTTTATTGGGTTGGTGAATTGAAAACTGCGGGCTATTGTCATCTGTGACAGTTTGAGCACTTTCTTCAAAAGAAACCCATTTTGGTGTCAATGGAAAAGTTGTAGAGAATCAAAAATCAAGCTTATAGCCAAATTTTCAGAACGATTCAAAAACTGGTTTTCAAGAAATGCGAAATTTACGAATTTTCACAAAACTTGCAACAAAACTTACATTTTAAGCGAAACTACTAAGTTTATCTCTTTGGAAATTTCGCTATAAGCCTAATTTTTGATTCTCTACAACTTTTCTATTGACACCAAAATGGGTTTCTTTTGAAGAAAGTGCTCAAATGCTCAAACTGGGACATCTCCAGTCCTCGATTTTTGAGTCTCACACTTGTCTCACACACAAACCAAAATCCTACTACGAAAGAGGGAACCGCAAATTGCCTGTAAAATGGGCAGAAGCCGTCAATAATAATGGAAATTATTTGGAATGAATTGATGGTTTTATGTTGAATAAATTTTAGTTCAAAGTCCCGCAGTTTTCAATTCACCAACCCAATACATGGATTCTAGCATAACTTAGCACCATAACAGCAAGACGACCCTTAATGCAATCAAATACAGTGAACAGTTGGAAAAGGTGAATGAATCCCTAAAGAAGAATAGGCCCTCCAAGTCAAGGATCGTTCTCATCCACGACAACGCGCGCCCTCATGTTGCAAAACTGACTCGCTCTAAAATCGACAGCCTTGTTTGGGAACTTTTGGCGCATTCCCCATACAGTCCGGACCTCGCCCCTTTTGATTACTATTTGTCCCGATTATGTGTAATGAGCTTGCGGGAGAACACTTTGATTCGGAAGAAGCAATCCAAAATTGGCTTTGAAAGTTTTTCGATTCAAAACCAAAATCCTACTACGAAAGAGGAATCCGCAAATTGCCTGTAAAATGGGCAGAAGTCATCAATAATAATGGAAATTATTTGGAATGAATTGATGGTTTTATGTTGAATAAATTTTAGTTCAAAGTCCCGCAGTTTTCAATTCACCAACCCAATAGAATTTATTAGAAAAATCACTTGAAACAAAGGACAACTCTCATTTGACGGAGCCATCATTATGAAGGGATAGACGAAAGTGTCGCTCGTTCTAAAGAAAAAGATTCTCTATTAGAGGAAATGGCAAACTTGTACGTATTCGGATTCGACACAACTGTAACAAGTGATTTTGGTTTAACCAAAACATAGAAGAGTTCATCTTGTGACTGGAGTCCCGGGATAACAAGGACTTGTCGAGTGTCTGGAAGAGCTGGCTGATTTGGAAATGCAAAACTTAAATTAATTTATTAGCCTTACTGACAAGGGAAGCTCAACAAGGGAAGCTCGGGTGTGGTGGCCAAATGACATCAGCCATAGACCATTCAAGACAATCAGATTCAAATGACATCAGCCATAGAATTTCACGCTGATTCCGGATCTGCTTTTCGTTTTTGCAACACAGCACTCTATCAAAAGTCATAAGCGTGCAAAGTTTTTTTATGGAATTTTAAAAATCATCTCTCGAGTTTACAAGCAGTTTTCCCAGACGCGTAGGATAGCTGACAGAGGGGTATTCGGATAGAATACAAGGCAAACCCTCTCGGGATCGATTTCGCAGTTTAACTTTTTTTTGTTTTCTTCGGCGTCTGGGAAAACTGCTTGTAAACTCGAGAGATGATTTTTAAAATTCCATAAAAAAACTTTGCACGCTTATGACTTTTGATAGAGTGCTGTGTTGCAAAAACGTAAAGCAGATTCGGAATCAGCGTGAAATTCTGCGTTGAATGGTCTAGGGCTGATGTCATTTGATCACCACGCCCGATTGAGTTTCCCCTGTAAGCTTTAGTCCATTCTACGGGGCACACGAAAATTACGGATACATCTTTTCAGCAATTTGCATGCCAAACGCTGCAATCAATTCAAAATTTCCAAGTGTTGTATAGAGAATTGAAGCCTGAATTCTTGCCTACATTTCTGTAGTAAAAGATCTTTGATTCAAGTTTTGCAGCCCATTTTTCAGACTGGTCGGATTGGGCTCATTTGAGGGTCTGAAAAATCGGCTGCAAAACTCGAATCAAAGATCTTTTGGTACAGAAATGTAGGTAAGAATTTAGGCTTCAATTTTCTATACAACAATTAGGGTTTTTGAATTGATTGCGGCGTTTGGTATGCGAATTGCTGAAAAGATGTATCCGTAGTTTTGGTGCGCCTTGTATTCTAAACAGTACATCTCTGGCGCACAGGCATTACTTTTTTGTCTCGGATTCCTAGTTTCAGTGCCCCCAATCTGTGCTGTTTGCATTCATGCATTTTAACCATTTTAACCCAAGCAATACACGTTCTGGGTTTGCCTGTTTTGGAAAAAAAACTGTGGGTTTAATGAAATCGGATTGGAGTCCCGCGAATCGATTCGGACGTTTCCGATTGACAAATTATCAGATCGGATCAGATTGGGGCGGATAAAATCGAATTTTCCTTCAATTTTCTAATCAGATCGGATCGGATGTATCCGATAGGCCAGCTCGGCCAAATTGAATTGAGAAGAAGCTCTGTCGGAGGTATCCGATCAGCCTTTCTAGCGTTTCTAGCCGATAGCGCCGACATAGAACTAACCATTCACCCATTCCTTAACCCGAAACGACACCGCATACTCCACATTGTGCACATCCGGGTTATGGCGTAAATAGAAAGCGGATTTGTTCGCAATTGTGAGGCTGGTCGTCGAGAAGTAACCCTTCGCTTGCCGATCGTTGCTCTTTGAGGCAAAAGGTCTAAATAAATTAGGTTACCGCTAAAAAGTCTTTGTCAGCTAAGCTTGAGAAGTTTACAGAATAGCTAACCAGAAAGCCTTCTCAAGTTACCCGCGAGTTACAATATGAGGTAGGCTTCTGAACGTACATTTTCAGGCCTTTCATTTTGCACCTACCTCAGACTGTAACTCGCGGGTAACTTGGGAAGGTTCCCTGGTAAGTGTTAAAAATAAAGGATATGTACATGTTTTGAAAAGCAGTCTTGGGTAGTGTTTCTCCGTCGAAGATGATCGGAAGAGTGCTGTTGGCTCCTAAAAGTCATAAAAAAACAGTTAAACAAGAGCTTGGGTACCGTATTGGGTGACATCGACAAGCAGAGTTATTGTTGAGTTTGTGAAGATCAAAATTCTTTCCTAAAATGCTCGATACTTGTGGATAGGAGCTTCTCGAGAACCTCGTTCTGCAATCGATTTCCGTGGATCGCAAACGAGGGCGTATCTATTGTCAATTCCCAAAAGTGCGTCACTAAAACAAAAATTTTGACAATTTTGAGGGTTTTGAACTTACGCTCTATCTAAATTTTTGTAAATACATTTCCGTTAGACTTTTTTAATGGATTGCTATATAGTTATCCTTTTTTTTAAATCTTCAATTTTGGAAAGCTAACACGATTTTGACCACACTAAACTTGTTCCTAAAGTGACTCGATTCCTTTTTTGGTCACTCGGATTTCGCCCTCGAAATTTCTTCAATGGTTTGATCAATTGAAACACGTGAAACAAGGATCGACTGCGTTGGGTAACAACGATCGACTACAGTGGGTCACAACGATCGACTACCGTGGGTCACAAGGATCGACTACAGTGGGTCACAAGGATCGACTACAGTGGGTCACAACGATCGACTACAGTGGGTCACAACGATCGACTACCGTGGGTCACAAGGATCGACTACAGTGGGTCACAAGGATCGACTACAGTGGGTCACAACGATCGACTACAGTGGGTCACAACGATCGACTACCGTGGGTCACAAGGATCGACTACCGTGGGTCACAAGGATCGATTACAGTGGGTCACAAGGATCGACTACAGTGGGTCACAAGGATCGACTACAGTGGGTCACAAGGATCGACTACAGTGGGTCACAAGGATCGACTACAGTGGGTCACAACGATCGACTACCGTGGGTCACAAGGATCGACTACAGTGGGTCACAAGGATCGACTACAGTGGGTCACAAGGATCGATTACAGTGGGTCACAAGGATCGACTACAGTGGGTCACAAGGATCGATTGTTTTGGAAAGCTAACTCTACTTTGACCACACTAAACTTGTCCCTAAAGTGACTCGATTCCTTTCTTGGTCACTCGCATTTCGCCCTCGAAATTTCTTGAATGGTTCGATCAACTGAAACACGCTTTAGCCTATTTTGTAGAGGAGATTTACAACATTCAAATAGTTTATAACATTCATCGATATCAGGTTTCTATCGTTGGAAATTTATGAAAATGTTGAAATCCGCATTTCTTAGGCATGTACCTAATAGAACTCGTTAAGAACCCATTGAAGGAAACCGGAAAAATCGGTTTTATATTATAAGTTATTAGTTATCGAAAGATCTACTAACAAGGTGCAGCTGTACATTTTTGATTTCCTGTATCCGAAGTTTCGATTTTCCGAAGTATTTTCATTTTGAAAACTTTTCCTTTTTGAACACTATTGTTTCTATTACTAGTCGGGACTCGGGTAACGGTAGGCCTGTAACGCAAGAACCCAGATTTACAAGTTTTGAGCGCATTTATAGAAAAAAATTTTGTGTAAAATGAAAAATGAATTTTTTTTTTGTCTTGTCTCGTTAGGCAAGGACTTGCTGTGGCTTTTTGAAACGAGATCAAGCCCATCTTATAGAATCGATCACACTAAGTTCGAATCTGCTTTCAGTTTTTGCTCTCGAGACCTGTAACGCTAGATATCTAGCTTACAAGTTTTGGGTTCATTTTTGATCTCTATTTGAGGCCTCTACTCCTCTCCCCAAGGGGTGGGGCTTAGAGAAAAAGGAAAACGCGTGGAAATTGCGTGGAAAACGCGAAGGTTAGTGAGCATTTTTTGCTGCTTATTAATATAAAAAGAAAATGCAAAAAGATCTGGCATGAGGGGAATCGAACCAGGGTAAAAAAAGTCTCGTAACCGAGAGCACTATCCCCTCGGCCACACAGCCACATTTTGCCGTCATCAAGGGATACCGTCGAGGCCTCAAATAGAGATCAAAAATGGACCCAAAACTTGTAAGTTTAATATCTTGCATTACAGGCCCCGAGGGCAAAAACTGAAAGCAGATTCGAACTCAGCGTGGCCGATTCTAGAAGATGGGTTTGGTCTCGTTCCAAAAAGTCACGACAAGTGCTTGCCTTTCCCTAGTTTACATTTCAGTGCATTTCAGAAAACAGCAATTGCCTGAATACCTTGGAAGCACTGTGGAGATCTTAATTTCGCTTCAGTAATGCTGAATTCTAAAATGCACTTATTCGTCATTTGTATTGTCGCGTAGCCGTGACGGACAGACGAACGGGCGTTTAATTTTTTGTATATAGTAGGATTATTTTCTCGACACCGCTCTGCACCTTCCTCCAGCGAAATCAGGAATCCAATTGGCGCCTCGGCTGTTTCGTTGACCCAATCAAGCTGAAAACTTTTAGATGGAAATCTCTTGCATAATGTGTGAGCATAAAATCAACGAAACTTCCAGACTCCTATTTATTTACCTGAAAACAGAATGCATTGAAGTGAAATGGCGCGTTTGGTGGCATCGTGAAACTGAAAATTTATCGGTCACTTGAGGCTTTATTAGGCTTTAGGCTTTATTAGGCTTTATTAGGCTTTATTAGGCTTTATTAGGCCTTAATAGGCTTTATTAGGCTTTATTAGGCTTCATTAGGCCTTAATAGGCTTTATTAGGCTTTATTAGGCTTTATTAGGCTTTATTAGGCTTTATTAGGCTTCATTAGGCCTTAATAGGCTTTATTAGGCTTTATTAGGCTTTATTAGGCTTTATTAGGCTTTATTAGGCTTCATTAGGCCTTAATAGGCTTTATTAGGCTTTATTAGGCTTCATTAGGCCTTAATAGGCTTTATTAGGCTTCATTAGGCCTTAATAGGCTTTATTAGGCTTTATTAGGCTTTATTAGGCTTTATTAGGCTTTATTAGGCTTCATTAGGCCTTAATAGGCTTTATTAGGCTTCATTAGGCCTTAATAGGCTTTATTAGGCTTTATTAGGCTTTATTAGGCTTTATTAGGCTTCATTAGGCTTTATTAGGCTTCATTAGGCCTTAATAGGCTTTATTAGGCTTTATTAGGCTTTATTAGGCTTTAGGCTTTATTAAGCTTTATTAGGCTTTAATAGACTTTAATAGGCTTTATTAGGCTTTATTAGGCTTTATTAGGCTTTATTGTCCCATAAAAACTCAGAGATTGTTTTTGTTTTTATCAGTACTTGCTCACAACACAACGTTTTGTATTTATATTTTTTTTTTGCTTTTTCATGCTAGAACTTTCTTCTTTCTTGCACTAACATTCATTTTTTAGGGATCGACACGAGAAGAGCGTTGTAATCGATCGAATGAAGCCAACTCGAGAAGAAATCCATGCCCAAACTACTCTAACGATTTTCAAGAGGGATTTCAGCGACCAAAGCAGCACGAGAAATCAATCAATCAAATTTTATGGCAAGAGAATTGTTGGAACGAGTACTGCACAGGAATGGTTTCAGGAATGGAATGGCTTCAGGAATGGAATGTTTTCCCAAATTCAAGACGGGCAACACGAGGATCAAACGGAAGAAGGGAAGCGGCCAACACTGGAAAGTGGATCGATCACTTTTGAGGCACCGACTCCTGCGAAACCTCGATGGATCAAACCGGAAATTGGCTGAACATTATTGTGGACGAATGACTGTGTGGCGATGGCTGCGAAAAGTGGAAAGAAATTGGTGAAAACACCAAATCTCATACGAAATGTCGGAAACAATCCAAGCAAAAAGAAAGTGGACATGCCACCACTTGTGAAGCGAATATCGGCATGGTCGGCTTCCTCTTTCGAAAATCATCACTCTCGATCAAATGTGGGTTTTCTACAATGGTCGAGTGTTACAACGGCAGTGGTTAAAGAAAGGGCAAGTAGGGAAAACGATGCCAAAACGGAAGATCCACGGAAAGAAGCGAAAGTTGTGTGTCTACTGGTGTTTGACAGGCGTCCTTTTCTAGGAACTTTTCAAATGAAGGCCAAATTTCAACACCGATGCCTATCTAAGTCATATGCGAAAGGTGGAACAAAAAGTCGGTAGATTGCACTATCGAAACAAATGGAACGACCCGATTTTCGTTCTTTAGGACGGCGCAAGCTCTCACAAATCAGAAATATCGATCGCTTTTGTGAAGAATAACCTACACTGGAATATCCTTTCTCATGCACTGTATTCTCCAAACGTTGCCCCTTCTGGCTTACTTATTCATCCTGCTAACTCTAAAGGATTTCTTACGTAGTAAAAAGTTCAAAGATAAGAGCGAACTCGAGGACGGACGAACGACTATTTTTGCTTGCGTTTACTAAGGTTTTACGAACGAGGAATTGGCATGCTATCCAAATCTTGGAGATCCGAGGAAGCTATCCAAATGTTGGAGAAAAGTTAGAAACAACGAAGAATCAGAATGAAATGATAGATTTTCAAGATGAATTCCAGATTTCTATGTGTTAAAAATAAATGAAATTGAAAATCGCTGGGTTTTTATGGGAAAACGGATAAGTGGTGAAAACCTTTGATTTGATGTCGGCCTCATCAAGTTACACGTCTTCCCATCTTCACCCGAATCAAACGTCAAAACGTGAAGACTCACTCCGGAGAGTTGGCTGATCTCACCGATCATCTGTCTTGCTTGCCCATTCTGAACAATAAAACATAGGAAAATCGCATAAAGCAAAACTAAAAACTTTCTGGCTTTGTGAAAATTAATCTGGATCGATTAGTGTTCCCATTCTAATTGAAATGACCGACCGTTTCCATGAATTTTCCGTTCAATTGTGCGGGTCCATACTCGGCGAGGTGTTCCATTTGCAATCCTCTGTCGTGAAACCATGGATAGTAATATGGAGTCCAAGTCGAGGGTGAGTCCAATGGTTCATCTATTAAATGTTAGAGAAATGAGAATCAATTCGAATGCTTTGACATTAAATGGGATTCCATTCATCCACCGTAGATTCAGTTGAAGATCCCCAACATTCTATCGAATTTAGGCAAAATGAGAAAACGATATCTGGCGCCAATAAATGAAAGCTAGAACTAGAACAATTTTGAACAGAGCAGAAGTTGGCTAATTGTGTAACGGTGTAGCTGGCTAACTAGCTAACTAGCTAACTAGCTAACTAGCTAACTAGCTAACTAGCTAACTAGCTAACTAGCTAACTGGCTAACTAGCTAACTGGCTAACTAGCTAAATGATTTCTAGTGAATCGTTTTTGCCACCTTTGCTTACCGGCTTTTCTAGTGTCAAAGAGAAGACAGAATGAGCAGTTGTGGCTTGGAATGATAGTTGTCACGGTGCACCGAGAATAAACCGGAATTCCACCGCTAAATGAGAGGTCATTCGATAGAGTCGATGTCATTTGATAACCAACCGAACTTTGGCCAATAAATGTGGCGGGGCTTCGGGACTGGAGCCGGCGTAGACGCTGAATATTGTGTCGGGAGGGCAATCGATCGGCTTCTGCAGGAATTGAGAGAGATTGAGACATTGAAACATTTCTCACTGGGGAATTCGCTTGGAACTTAGAAAAATAAAATGCTTATTGTAAGGGATTTCTAGCAGGGCTGTTGGTGATCGGTGATCGGGAAAAGGATCTCCCGGCTGAGCGCAATCGGGTTTCCAATTCTATGGGCAAAACTTCACCCTTATTCCTTATTCCGGTGCTTTCCTATTACCACTACCATTTTTTTGACTTTGCATTCGGTCTCAAATCTCCTCAAAAATATTTCAAGTCTTCGAGAAAGCTAAAATTCATCAATATAGTCTTTTTGGTAACGCTTTTATACATTTCAGACTTTTTTGTATGCAAACTTTATTGTAAATAGCATAAGTGCAAGTAGTGGCTATAACAGGAAGGTTCTCTTTATTCTCTTTATCTGAACTCGCTTATTTTGGTTAAATAAACATTTCAGCGCAATTTAAGGCTAGAAACGTAAATTGCTAACGGCAGATTTTTCTAGAATCAACTCACCCCGGGATCTGGGCACAGTTCTTCCGCAATCCCCGCGTGCATTGCTTTCACCATCACAAGCGGTCCACCATTATTGCTAGAAAATTTAGTTTTTAGGTTGACGTTGGGATATTGGAAAGTTAAAAGGCCGTCACAGTTTCAATTTTTTAATTTTTTCAGTATGCATGTAAAAAAAAAAGAATGTTGGAAAAACATTGGCACTTTTATGGTTTACATAATCCATTTTTTTCTCGAAATCGATCATTTTGGGGGTTTTAAAATGCGCTGAATCCGAATTTCGTTGTCCCAGGTTGGGGAAATGCACTCCAACCGAGTTATACAATTTTTGCAAAACGTGTGTTTTTTAGCGCTTGGGCCATTGGGCCGGAGGGCCGGAGGGCCGTTGGGTTAAGGGTTTGTTGAGAAGAGACTTATTGCTCGCAGGGATACGTGTCTCGAACTCGATTCCAGAAATTGAAGAATGAATGATGACCAGCCTGAGCCTGAGCTTTATCTTTTCAAAGACATCCCGTAGAGTGTAGTCTCTCAGATCATTGATTGTTGCCACAAAAGAAACAGAAAGGGAAACTCAGACACTCAGACATTCAGACAAAACGTAAAATAGCTGTACGTAAACGTACAGTTATCAAAGTCCCACTGTATCCTTATCAAGCCCACTCGTTGTTTATAAAGATATAGATATCAGAAAACAGAAATTGAGAACGCAGAAAATGAACTACAAAGAACTAAATAGGAGCCAAATAGGAACCAAATAGGAATCAAATAGGAGCCAGATAGGAGCCAAATAGGAGCCAAATAGGAGCCAAATAGGAGCCAAATAGGAACCAAATAGGAACCAAATAGGAACCAAATAGGAACCAAATAGGAATCAAATAGGAACCACAAAGAACTACATAGGTTCTCAATCTCTTGTCGTTCACTGAGAGGTGTCTGTCCTTTTTGTAGATCAAAGAAACACCGAGAAACGTCATTTTAAAGAGCTGAAAGTGATGCAAAAATTCGACGGTAGCCCTTACAAACTCATAAGTCGCTCAGTGCACTAGGGAATCAATTTTCAAATGCGTTTTTACAGAAATCTAGAGCATTTGGGCAAAAACTAAAAAAACCATCGTGTTGCTCGTGTCCGACTTGCGTAAGTCATATAGCTTTGGTTCGGATTCACGCTTGCGAAATCTGGTCCTTCCCTAGTAAGAGTTCGACTTAACCCAATGGGCGTGGCTTGTTTAACTTGTTCAAACATGTTTAAGCTCCTTATAAGGCCTTGAAAATAACCAAAGGCTTTGTGATTATCTTTAACGCAAGAAATGGCAACAATCAATGATCTGATAGACTACACTCTACGGGATGTCTTTGAAAAGATAAAGCTCAGGCTCAGGCTGGTCATCATTCATTCTTCAACTTTCCCAACCTGGGACAACGAAATTCGGATTCAGCGCTCCTTAAAACCCCAAGATTTCGAGAAAAAAACGGGTCATGTAAACCATAAAAGCACTAAAACATTTAATACTTCAAGAAATTTTGTATGTGCCAACAAACTCGTATGTGTCCGGGTTCGCCACAATGACCGGATAGTCGCCCGTGAGAGCCGCTGCCGTCAGGGTTGCGTTACTTTTGGCGTTGTATCGAATGCCGGTGAGCAGCAGGGGTTTGCGAAAATCTAAAACACCTTTGTTGAAGAATAAATAGTTTTAATAAAGGATTCGCTGTTGTGTTTTTCAAGATTTTCGGTGCATTTTCGTTCTCTATTTTTTTATTTTCATTTTATTTTTATTTTCGTTCTCTATAAAATTAACCCGAAAGCTAAGTTTAAAAAACAGAATCACTCTGAAAAGGTTTTCGGCGGAAAAGTTTTTTTTCTATTGTTTGGTGAATTTGGTGAATGCTTGTCCGAGATGAATGCTTGTCCGAGGTGAATGCTTGTCCGAGATGAATGCTTGTCCGAGGTGAATGCTTGTCTGAATGCTTGTCCGAGGTGAATGCTTGTCCGAGATGAATGCTTGTCCGAGGTGAATGCTTGTCTGAATGCTTGTCCGAGGTGAATGCTTGTCCGAGATGAATGCTTGTCCGAGGTGAATGCTTGTCTGAATGCTTGTCCGAGGTGAATGCTTGTCCGAGATGAATGCTTGTCCGAGGTGAATGCTTTTCTGAATGCTTGTCCGAGATCAATGCTTGTCCGAGATGAATGCTTGTCCGAGGTGAATGCTTGTCTGAATGCTTGCCCGAGATCAATGCTTGTCCGAGATGAATGCTTGTCCGAGATGAATGCTTGTCCGAGGTGAATGCTTGTCTGAATGCTTGTCCGAGATCAATGCTTGTCCGAGGTGAATGCTTGTCCGAGATGAATGCTTGTCTGAATGCTTGTCCGAGATGAATGCTTGTCTGAATGCTTGTCCGAGGTCAATACTTGTCCGAGGTGAATGCTTGTCTGAATGCTTGTCCGAGGTGAATGCTTGTCCGAGATGAATGCTTGTCCGAGGTGAATGCTTGTCTGAATGCTTGTCCGAGATGAATGCTTGTCCGAGGTGAATGCTTGTCCGAGATGAATGCTTGTCTGAATGCTTGTCCGAGGTCAATACTTGTCCGAGGTGAATGCTTGTCTGAATGCTTGTCCGAGATCAATGCTTGTCCGAGGTGAATGCTTGTCCGAGGTGAATGCTTGTTGGCTGTCTATGCCAATAACAAGAAGTACGCCAGCGTGAATGCACTCAAACAAGTTATTCGAGACGCATAGGGAAGAATTGCTCAAGAATCAAGAATCTAGTCGCATCAATGTCGAGCCGGCTATTTGAAATCAGAAAAAAGTAGGGTAGACCAACTCATTATTCATTTGTTATTTTATTGGTAAAATGGTTGTGCCAAAAAGCCTGTCAGACAAGAAGCAAGGCAAGGTGTCACTTGCCTTGCCTGGGCTTGCCTGGTAGTTTTGGCAGGCAAGGGCAAGGCAAGACGACCTCTGACTTGCTCTTGCCTGCCTTGCCTTGCCTTGCCTGGAAATTTTCCCTTTGGTACAGCCCTGATTGGTAATTTTATACTGTTTTGTTGTTAGAATAAAGGTTCTATAGTTTTTTGACAACGAAAAATCGTCCCTTGTACGAAAACGTACTTGTTACTTGTCAGAAGTTCTTGAAAATCTGCATGCAGGTTATTTTGATGATAAGAATACTACACTAAAAATTTCATCCTGATTGCTTGTTTAGAAAAAAAGTTCTGAACAAAAAAACCCTTGATTCGATGGTTTTTTGACAGACTGCAGAAGTGCGATCACCTGAGAAAATGGACTACTTTTGTTACGGTTTTTGTACAACGCTTTTGACTTATCACTGAATACAAGTTGAGTTTTTCCGGCAGCCGAGCACATCTTCCTACTGACACAAAAAAAAAACAGAATATAAATCGGTTAAACGTTGCAACTGCTCAGTTAAGATGCTCAATATTCACCCTAATCGAATCGCGCTTGAATTCGATTGAGATCATATCAAAAGTTAGAGATCGATCCTTTTCTGGCTAGTTGATTGGTTTAAATGATTTTTCAATTTTTTAATAAGCGCAAGATCCTAAGAAAAATTAGTGCTTTACCTCTGATCCAACCCGAAGAAGTGCTGACTGTGACGGCAAACTCGTTCCCTTCTACAGTGAGCGCCGTAAATATTAGCATGCGTTTCCCGTAGACATGATATATGGTTGTGTATTGAGTGTCCAAGGTTTTTCGCGTTGTCGCATCGGCATAGGCTCTGCAAATTGTTCGTGAGATTCACATAGGAGGAAGGGGGTTTAGGAATTTGGAATCGTTTGGTCTGCACCCGGATTTCAGGAGATAACTAAGATTTTTCCTCCAAACAAACAAGGTACTTTAGTAGGTACAACAGGTATAAGTAGGTACAACAGGCACAAGTAGGTACTTTAGTAGGTACAACAGGTACAAGTAGGTACTTTAGTAGGTACAACAGGTACTTTAGTAGGTACAGCAGGCACAAGTAGGTACTTTAGTAGGTACAACAGGTACAAGTAGGTACAACAGGTACAAGTAGGTACAACAGGTATAAGTAGGTACTTTAGTAGGTACAACAGGTACTTTAGTAGGTACAACAGGTACAAGTAGGTACAACAGGTACAAGTAGGTACAACAGGTATAAGTAGGTACTTTAATAGGTACAACAGGTACTTTAGTAGGTACAACAGGTATAAGTAGGTACTTTAGTAGGTACAACAGGTACAAGTAGGTACTTTAGTAGGTACAACAGGCACAACTAGGTACAACAGGTACAAGTAGGTACAACAGGTACAAGTAGGTACTTTAGTAGGTACAACAGGTACAAGTAGGTACTTTAGTAGGTACAACAGGCACAACTAGGTACAACAGGTACAATTAGGTACTTTAGTAGATACAACAAGTAGGTACAAGCCCAAGTACTTTTCCGAGAGCATATTTTTTTACTTAAAAGTAAAAAGGCAAAAAAAATCATGTTAAAAAACGGAATTCAGAAACCAAATCGATCCAAATCAATAAATCTTTTTCAAAAAAAACATAACCGACGTTTTGCCCTGATTGTACCAAGCCAGCGCCTCGCTACAGTTGAACGGGCGAACATCAGCGCACTATAATTGAATATTTCAATGAACTTTTCGCAAGTGCCTCACATATGTGCCGTTCGCTATGTTGCAACCATTCTGAGTCCATTTCACGTCGAAGTTGACGTCGGCTGGCTTGTCGATTGTGATTGTGATTGTCTGAGGAAAGAAAAGATTGCCGTTGTCATAAATGAAGATTTTGGCAAAGGCAATATTTTTGCCAATACCTTTCAAATTCAATACCAAAAGCCATGTTTCTCATCGAGATTCTAGGTTTTAAAGGAAACGATATACAGGGGACACGAAAATTGCGGCTACATCCGATAATTTGTCAATCGGATACGTCCGAATCGATCCGCGGGACTCCAATCCGATTTGATTAAACCCACAGCTTTTTTCTTCCAAAACAGGCAAACCCAGAACGTGTATGGCTTGGGTTCATATGAACGCAAACAGCACAGATTTGGTGCACTGAAACTAGGAATCCGAGAAGAAAGTGATGACTGTGCGCCAGAGATGTGCTGCTTAGAGGGTGCGCAAAAAATTACGACTACATCTTTTCAGCAATTCGCATGCCAAACGCTGCGATCAATTCAAAAACCCTAAGTGTTGTATAGAGAATTGAAGCGTAATTTCTTGCCTACATTTCTGTACCAAAAGATCTTTGATTCGAGTTTTGAAGCCCATTTTCCAGACCCTCAAAAAAAAAGCCCAATCCGACCAGTCTCCGGCATGCTTCCATTTTTAGCTGTTTTCTAACTAGAAGAATTTCTCTTTAGTAAAAGCACATTTTTATTTATTTAGAAACTATTTCCAACTAATTTACAGCTTTAGAACAGCACTTAGAATGTCCTACAAACTAAGAATTGAACACCCTAAAAACCCCAATCCGACCGAAATCGCCGAACATCCAAAGAGGGCCATCTTTAATTCAAGTTCTGGTTAGGTTAACATTGTCAAAGCATGGCTTATTTGAGGGTCTGAAAAATGAGCTGCAAAACTTGAATCAAAGATCTTTTGGTATAGAAATGTAGGCAAGAATTCAGGCTTCAATTCTCTATACAACACTTAGGGTTTTTGAATTGATTGCATCGTTTGGCATGCAAATTGCTGAAAAGGTGTATCCGTAATTTTTTGCGCACCCCGTAGAATAGCTTGCACACACATGTATAAATATTTATAATGATCAATTTTTGAAAATTGGCGAGCTCCACCTTAACAGCCTGAAGGCGAGTGCCATGAAATGTGAAAGTTGGAAATGCTTTGCTCAGTTGAAAAGTGGGATTGATTTCAGCGGAAATTAGTTGAATCGATAGCAACAACGGGGAAAACAATACAGAGAAAATCATTAGTTTTTAGAATTTTGTAAAAGTAATGGCTGATATCAACGCTGGTTTTAGTTTGGTATCGCCAAGCCGTGGATTTGCCAGTCTTTTCTGCAAAGAAAAGCCGCTTTTGTTGGCTCGTTTTCAAGGGGTGAAGACGTGAATTCGGCAAATGCCACCTCTCTCTTTCTCTCACTCGTTTATCAATGACGAGCGAGAAGGAGAGAAAGTGCAAAATGTACATGTTTTTCTCTGAACTGCTCAAAAGTTGGGGCAGTTTCGGCAGATGATTGAAGAGAAAATGTTCAATTAGCAGGATCTAAGTACATATTGATCAAATGTCATTGTTCTTGTGTAATAGCTATGCGAAACTGATCAATATTGGTTTGTTTGTTTGGATTGTTTGTTTGATTTCATTGTCTTGTTAATGTTTGTTGAATTTTCCTTTTTTAGAGCTCTGAAAGCGGTGATCTAAGGGTCGAGGGTTCGACTCCGGCGCGCGGCAGTTTTCTTGAAAACATTTTGCTAAAAGAACGAGTTTTGCGTTTTCTAGGGTAATTTTCAACGCTGATTCCGAAAAACATGGTTTCAGCCTAGGTTTCCGTAGAAAAAAAACGAAAAAAAATTCATTTTTTTGAAATTTTGGGTCTGACGTCCCTCAGTAAAACGGCTGCAAAAGCTTTGAAAATTGATATATTAAAAAGCGATTTTTTTATTCAATCCGCTAGAAAAATAGCTTTTGAATGAGCTATTACACGTCCAGATCGGACAAGTTTAAGACCCTCTCCCAAAGAAATCGGCAAAGACTTTCTCCTCAACCTAATAAAAGCGACGTCAAGCATTCTCTCCCAACGAAATTCTGCACATTTCCATTTCAGGCTTTCTTTTTTGGCTAATCTTTAATATTATTATCGACCTTCAATATTATTATCGACCGTCCTTGAACGTTTTCTTTTTCAGCAACAAAAAGCACGGGAAAAGACAAAGATTTGGATTTGGAGGTAAAAGCAAAAAAAATTAAAAAAAACTTTCACTTTTTTTGAGAGGGACTGATAAATTTGTGCGTTTTTTTTTCGCTTTTTCGATCAAGATTTAGTAAAAATTGAGAAAAAAGTGAAAAATCGGGTGTTTGATGTGATTTTGGTACTCATTCAAATCGCCATAAATCAATCAAATTCTCTGGAGCAATGATTTTTGATTGACCTTCTTATTAGCAAAAAAAAGATAGGGAGTTGCGATTTTTTTCAAAAAATCTTATCATTTTTCCCCTATCGGTCGATTTCTATTGCAGCAAGTCAATTCTTTTCTTATCCAATAATATAATTTTATAATAATAATAATAATAGGATATTGCTGATTGAATCGCCATAGTTTTGTCTGTTTTTGTATTACGATGTCTGGCCGAAAATCTGAGAAATCTGGAAATCTGGAAACCGGCTGCACTTCATCCGATTCAAGGGCCGACGAAGGGACCACCAGGTGAATGATGATTTCCTGAATTGTCTATTGAGCTGTGGAAAAAAAACTTTTCAAACTTTTCAAACTAAGATTATCTACTAAGAAATATCAAGTTTGATTCCTTATCTCTCTAAATTTGGTTCATTATCTATCTAAATTTGGTTCATTATCTATCTAAATTTGGTTCCTTATTTCTCCAAATTTGGTTCATTATCTCTCCAAATTTGGTTCATTATCTCTCCAAATTTGGTTCATTATCTATCTAAATTTGGTTCCTTATCTCTCTAAATTTGGTTCCTTATCTCTCTAAGTTTGATTCCTTATCTCTCTAAATTCGTTTCCTTATCTCTCTAAATTGAAAACGGCTCCAATTATAATGATTCCCAGAGAATAGGTGACGCAACAACGGGTGACAGGGCAATAGGTGACCAAAAAGACAATAGGTGACCAAAAAGACAATAGGTGACCGAAAAGAAAATAGGTGACCGAATAGACAATAGGTGACTTTATTTAATGTTTTTTTTTTGCGTCGTCCGAGCATAGAGGCAGTTCTATTATTGTGGCGACAAGAATTGGATGCGACAAAGGGAAATTTGGATAATATTAAATTTGGCTTGTTGCCGCGAGGATCGTTAGCTGCAGAGGAACGAGAACGACAAAAAAACGCTGGAAATCATTTGCTTAATTTTCCGGCTTAGGCTTCGGCAATTTCATTTCTTGATTGTGCTTCATTCTTGGATAATTTATCAAACTTGATTAATCCAAAAGATTAAAGCTTTATGTTCTTTTTAGCATTTTTTTTGTTATTTCTTGTTGTCATATTTTATGTTATAAATAACATCGCTGCTATAACGTTATAAAATTAACTTAGTCAGGTTTCAATCGCAAAAAAACTAAAAAATACGATATTTATTCTAATAGAAGCGCAGCCTCCAATAGCTACTGATTAGATTTGGTCGATTCGGTCACCTATTTTTGCGTCGCATCACCTATTGTCGTGGTCACTTATTGTTCCGTCACCTATTGTCCCATAACCAATAATAATGGCATTGGATCATCTATTACTTATTTATTCATTTTGTTCTAGTGAAAATGAATGGCTACTGCTAGTTTTGAAGCCTTGAAGAAAATCTGAGAAAGAGGATCTTACATCTTATGCAAAAGTAACAAAAAAAATTCTATTTAGAGCGACATCAGAATATCATCTTAAAGCTCTCACAAAATACTATTGGGTTGATGCATAATTATCCGGACTTCTTTTATAAATGATTTTATTTAACAAAAAATAACATAAATAGTTAGAAAAATATGTTTAATTGATTATTCTGGAGCATATTCACCGCCTACATCAATAACTGATTGCCATTTGCTTGGAAGACGATCGATTCCACGAGCGAAGAATAAACGATCTTTGGAGGCAATCCACGCTTTAACATCGTCTATCAAGTCATCCAAATCGTTGTAGATCTTATTTGTTTGCCAATTTTTGAGCGATCGATTGACGTGGTAGTCCGTTGGGGCTTCTCCAGTTCTTTGAGATCGCGAAACGACTCTGCGGCAGACCATCCCTTTTCGAAGTGGTAGAGCATGATATGGCGAAGATGGATATGATTGTCGACACGCATTTTGTTCACTAAAGAATAACGAATATTTAAAAAAAAGAAATAGACAAAAAGCTTTCAAAACAAAAAAGATACAAGCACGCAAAAAGAAGTCCGGATAATTATGCATCAACCCAATACAAAAACTTATTGGGATCGATTTATTTGAACACGTAATAACGGGAGAAAAACGAGAAAACATTGGCCGGCCAAGACTTTTGGCGACTGTATGAGTTTCTACAAGTTATAGCACATAGATATACCGCATTTTCTCAAGTTTAACGTTGAACAATTTTGGAAAAACAATTTTGTATTCCTGCATTCCTGTATTCCTGTACTCCTGTACCTGTATTCCTGTATTCCTGCATTCCTGTATTTCTGTATTCCCGTATTCCTATATTCCTGTATTCCTGCATTCCTGTATTCCTGTATTCCCGTATTCCTGCATTCCTGCATTCCTGCATTCCTGCATTCCTGCATTCCTGTATTCCTGTATTCCTGTATTCCTGTATTCCTGTATTCCCGTATTCCTGCATTCCTGTATTCCTGTATTCCGGCATTCCTGCATTCCTGTATCCCCGTATTCCTGCATTCCTGTATTCCTGTATTCCTGCATTCCTGCATTCCTGCATTCCTGCATTCCTGCATTCCTGCATTCCTGCATTCCTGCATTCCTGTATTCCTGTATTCCTGTATTCCTGTATTCCTGTATTCCGGCATTCCTGCATTCCTGTATCCCCGTATTCCTGCATTCCTGTATTCCTGTATTCCTGTATTTCTGTATTCCCGTATTCCTGCATTCCTGTATTCCTATATTCTTGTATTCCTGTATTCCTGCATTCCTGCATTCCTGTATTCCCGTATTCCTATATTCCTGCATTCCTGCATTCCTGTATTCCCGTATTCCTGCATTCCTGTATCCCCGTATTCCTGCATTCCTGTATTCCTGTATTCCTGTATTTCTGTATTCCCGTATTCCTGCATTCCTGTATTCCTATATTCTTGTATTCCTGTATTCCTGCATTCCTGCATTCCTGTATTCCCGTATTCCTATATTCCTGCATTCCTGCATTCCTGTATTCCCGTATTCCTGCATTCCTGTATTCCTGTATTCCTGCATTCCTGTATTCCTGTATTCCTGTATTCCTGTAGTCAAAGAATTGTTGGCACAAAAATGCAAAACAAAGATAGCCTTTTTTCTCTCTGTGTCACTTTAAATATGCTCATTAGGGATTAAAATAGATTTATTTTCATACAAACACAAATCCTTAAAATCTACTTTCTCTTGTCTGCTCATGGCTGCTGAGCGCTTTGTCCGTAGACCCATGGCACGTAAACGCCCCACTCGTACATCCCCTCCATTCCGCACAAATCGAATCCCTTTGGCATCTGGAATGCACAAATTCTGTTCTTTGCTTTTAGTTTTTATAACTTAGACTTGATTGGGGTAAGTAGAACACCTAAAAAACGCAATTTGCTTGTCATCAGTTTTTGATAGGTTCATAAAAGAGAAAAATCTTTTGGCTTTTGCACCTTTAGTCCATAAAAGTTTCAGAATTGATCATCAGTGTTTCAGAATTGAATCTCTCACCCTAAGATAACCGCCCTCGCCCCAGTTAGCTCCCCACGAGTTTCGCACAATCCAATACTGCTCGTCGTTTGGGTCGGTTCCTGAAACGAGAGATTACTGATTTTTTGGGGGCTATGCGCCTGGCCGCAATTTTGCCAATGGCATTTTAATTTTCTTGGGTTTTCGATGACGCTGCCATTTCCACAAGATCTCATAAAAATGATTGTCCCAAAGATCACCATTGACGCCGTTTCTCATCCTATACTGTCTTTTCAATTGGCTCCAAAGGGATCAGCAAGTTAAACGACTTCAAAGGGATCAGCAAGTTAAACGACTTCATTTCTAGCCTATTAGCCGTTTGAATACCCTCCATTTCTAAATAATTGTGGATTAGAAAGTCAAAATAAAAGAATGAAAGTTAGAACACTTTGAAACTATTAGGTTGTTGAGTTGAAAACTGCGGGACTTTGAACTAAAATTTATTCAACATAAAACCATAAATTCATTCGAAATAATTTCCATTATTATTGACGACTTCTGCCCATTTTACAGGCAGTTTGCGGATTCCTTTTTCGTAGTAGGATTTTGGTTTGTGTGTGAGACAAGTGTGAGACTCAAAAATGGGGGACTGGAGATGGAGAGTGGGAGATCCCAGTTTGAGCCACTTTCTTCAAAAGAAACCCATTTTGGTGTCAATAGAAAAGTTGTAGAGAATCAAGAATTAGGCTTATAGCCAAATTTCCAAAAAGATACACTTAGTAGTTTCGCTTAAAATGCTTTGTGAAAATTCGTGAAAGTTTCGCTTTGTGAAAATTCGTAAATTTGGCATTTCTTGAAAACCAGTTTTTGAATCGTTCTGAAAATTTGAATATAATCTTAATTTTTGATTCTCTACAACCTTTCCATTGACACCAAAATGGGTTTCTTTTGAAGAAAGTGCTCAAACTGTGACATATGACAATAGCCCGCAGTTTTCAATTCACCAATCCAATAGTTTCAAGACTTTGTTCTAACTTTAATTTTTTATTTTCACTTTCTAATTTGTGAAATTCTTTCACTTTTTCATTTCTAATCCACGTTTGTTTAGAAATGGAGGGTATGTTGTTAATCAGCGTTGTCGAAAACCCAAGAAAATTAAATCTCACTAGCGCAAAATTGAGATCACGCCCACTACCCACACCCAACGCGCATAGCATCAATTTATTTTCTGTTTTCAGTGGATTTGTGTCCTCTCTCCTCCACGATAAGACATTACAATGAAAAATATGTAAATGAATATCTAATATTGCCTCGAAACCCTACGAAACCCTCGAAAACCTCAAATCCCGTTAACACCCATCACTTAAAAGAGTCCAGGTTTCAAGTACATCAAAATTTTTACATTTTTGGAAGCCTTTGGAAGAGATTCGAAATAGGTGCCAACGTAATAGCTGATGCTTATCCTGGATTCATTGCGTCTACACGCTCGTTTATGGCACACCTACTTTCTATCACCACTCTCAACTCCTTGAATAAGCTTTATCTCATCCAAGCCATTGACCATGTCCTTTTACTCTGGAGGAGGTCGATACTGGTCAGCCAATCTTCAAACTGATCATCGAGAAGCCAGAGCTTTTGCGAAATTTTAAGCAAATTATGATCTTTAAGCACATTCAATCAAGTGTTATTCGCCGAAAATTAATAATGAACATTTTTACGCTTTTTTACGCTTTTACGTTCATCAGCTACTACGCTTTTTTTATATAATCCTTAGCTAAATATCTTCATTTTTGAATTTTAAATATTACGGTGATAGGAATGAAACCAGCGCTCACAATCGATCGGACAATGGTATTTAGTTTTTCAACAGAAATGCCCGATAGACTTGGGTTTTTTGGGGAAGTCAGGGAAACTATTAGGTTGATGGGAATGAAACCAGTAATTTTCTTTCCAAAAATAAGTTATAGTTAGTTATCAGCAAGCAGAAAATGCCAGGTACTTTTCGAGAAAAGTCGTCATTTTTTTCGAAATTCAAATGGCTGTAACTTTGTGCGTTTTGCCGATTAGCGGTTTTTGAAAACAGCTTCTGAACGTACATTTCCAGGCCTTTCTTTTTGCACCTATCTCATATTGTAACTAGCGAGTAACTTGGGAAGGTTCCCTGGTAAGCAATAATTGCCAGTAGTGCGCAGGTCCCAGGTCGAGACTCGACCTGCGCTTACTTTTTAACACCCAAGTCCCCAATAATCGATCCAATTCAAAAAATCCTTTGCACTATTTCGTAGAGGAGATTCAGGGCTTTTAAAAAGTATACAAGACTTATTGGCTGAGACTTGTAATCTTTTTATTTTTGGAAAGATATGTGAGGGCTGGTTTCATTCTTATCACCCTAATAATACAAATAAGATTTAGCTGCGGTCGGTCAACTGTAGTAGCGCCGACATAGGAAATTTACCGAATCCGACGATCGTCATCGCATGAGCGCCGACAGCGTATGAAGGTTTGCATTCCAGAAGTGGTGGATAGAAGATCCCCGACCGGTAGAGGTAGATCGACCGGGGCACCCACATCGCTGAACACTTTCGCTCTTTCAATGTCGTTTTGAATCTTGTGAAATCTTGTGTTTAACATTTTGTCACTTCATTTTGTGACTTATTTTGTGACTTCATTTTGTGACTTCAAAAGTTTCTTCTCCAGTTTTTGAATCTGATACCCACAGAAAGTGAGCGGTCCAACATTGGTGAGATAGTATTCCATGTCTTGGATCGACGACAGTCGGAACCAATTGGACACAATTTTTTGACCGGTCTGTAAAAGAGAATTTGAAGAGATGCTTGGGTAAATGATGTAAAATGCTTGAGTAAATGACCTTATTACCCCTTAGCTTTTAGCATAAGCTGAGCTATAAGTGAAATCCGTAGGAGAAAGATCTGGTGAGTAAGGTGGACTGTTAAAGGACTCTTAAAATCAAAGACAAAGTTTGAGTCTTGTTTATTTCGATTATTTTCCCACCAACCTAATACATGCATAACTACATACAAATACACATAACCAACCAAATTCTGGCATTCCCCAGCGACCGCCGTGTACGGATAAGCGTCCTGTGGCACATTGCCCGCAGAATAGGAGTAGCTGAAGTTCTAAAATTTTGCTGCAACTATTTTTATGATACTCCATGACACTGTGCGGCCATCCACCATTACATCCACGGTTGCCGGTCGAACAATCGACAATTTGCTGGAAAATGAATGACTCTTTTTTGTATAAGAGATTAAGCAATTAATTCTCTTCGGAACGAAAGAAAAAGAACCTATTAAAAGAACGCTAGTCACGCTTTAAAATTAACGCTTAAGAACGCTGGTTACCCCTTCAAGTCAACGCTTAAGAACGCTAGTTAAGGCATGGAATGAAATCCTTTTGACAATTGGTTTACCTGTTCAGAGAACTCGGAGAACGTGTTATTCGGAATCGAATTCCATTGGACTTCGATCGCGTTGATGGCTCTGAAAAAAAGAGATGTTAATGAGCAAAACATGTTGATCGCGATCTTCGATCTTCGATCGCGTTGATGGCTCAATTCTTCGGCTCAATGTTCAGTCCTTGTTTTCGATTCTTGTTTGATTCTTGTTCTTTTTGTTTCTTGTTCTTTTTGATCCTTGTTCTTTTTGATTCTTGTTCAAAAAGTGTTTGGTTTAGTTTTTGTTTAATCTCCAGATACATGGCTCGAATGAGCTTAGTTTTTCCGTTCTCAGGCCCGTTTTTCACGCAAATCAAAAGCTTTTCTATTGTGCGCTTTTTATTTTCTTGATAATCAAAAGTATTTCAAAAGAATGAACTTACGCAAAGGCGTAACACGATCCACAAGATTTTTGATTTCGCACAGCCGGCATGAACTTTCCACGCCAATCGGCTCGGGCCGTCGCGTACTGGAAACAACAGATATGATAATTAGATATGATAATTAGGGAATACGAGTTAAATTCGAAAATCAAATGAGGTTTTGATAAGGCAGAAAGTGATACATTGTCAGAGTGAGGTGATACAAAGCACGTTGCTTTTATCTCTTCGGAAACTGACCGTTTGTATGACTCCCCTCTTGGCTCTTCTCGCCACTCTGTCCAAAGCAGCATTGCTGTCTTGAGCTGATTGAATGTCCATCACGTACTACAATAAAACAGTAAATCAAAAGCAATTTACTAATAATACGATAATCCGATTATCAAATTCGATTATCATCGATCGATTTGTGCAAGTGCAAAGCGAATTGAAATCTTGTAAATTCGCTATATTGTAATTTTCATTGCAATATGGCTTATTTCACGTACCTTTGCCTTTTCGTCATCGTCCATATCGGTGAAGATATTCTCACCAAGCTTGTAGCCTCTGTTTTTCTTGTTTTCCTGAAATTTTCAGTCAAACGTTTGCAATTTCAAAGTCAAAAAAAAAGAGTTTGCAAAGAATTTTACCCACCTCATCGATAATTTTCATGTTTTTCTTCCAATTTCTCGCTTTCCTCTTCATCTCGTCCAGGTTTTTATAGTTTTTGCTCCATCTAAAAATAGAAACTAGAAATCAAGCAAAAATTTGGGGTAGGCTAATTTCCGTCATTTTATTCACCATTCGGTTCCTTATCCCTCTAAATTCGCTTCCCGATCTCTCTAAATTTGGTTCCGTATCTCTCTAGAATCGGTTCCTCATCTCTCTAAATTCCCTTCCCGATCTCTCTAAATTCGCTCCCCGATCTCTCTTTACTCTGTTCCTGATCTCTCTAAATTCGGTTCCTTATCTCTCTAAATACGGGGCCTTATCTCTCTAAATACGGGGCCTTATCTCTCTAAATTCCCTTCCCGATCTCTCTAAATTCGCTCCCCGATCTCTCTTTACTCTGTTTCTGATCTCTCTAAATTCGTTTCCTTATCTCTCTAAATTCGGCTCCGGATCTCTTTAAATTCGGTTCCTTATCTCTCTAAATTCGGTTCCTTATCTCTCTAAATTCGGTTCCTTATCTCTCAAAATTCGGTTCCTTATTTCTCTAAATTCGGTTCCGTATCTTACCGAAACAGGGTCATTTGCGCAAGTACGTTTGCGCAACTTTTCATTTGCGCAACAGGGTCGTTTGCGCAACAGGGTCATTTGCGCAATTTTTTTTTGACGTTTTTAAGGGACTGGCGCGAAAGCAGAGGGGTGCACTTTAGGTTTGCGTACGTTTGCGTTTGCGTTTAGGTACGTTTGTGGAAATTTTACGAAGAAATGACGCAAATAATCAACCTTTTCAAGCTTTCATCGGCTATCAATCTCACTGTTGAATAAAACTACGCACGGAAGAAAACTCTATTGGCTCGACAAAATCGCATATCGGCTCGCATCGTTTTACTGCTATTTCTAATGGTCGCTTGTCCGGTTGCGATTCTGTGCAACATCTTTCTCAGCTTTTAACTTATATTAAAAAAATTTGATTTTTATTGTTGTCCTAAATTTCATTGTTATCGCTTGCACTTTTTTTGTTAAAGCAATAAAATATTTTACTAATGGTTATTAGCTCCTAGAAAGGACTAATTTAGATAAATATTGGAAGATTGCGCAAAAAATTGGAAGGAACATTTAGGAACACGAAAAATCCGAGTGCTTAATACAATGTTAAAGTTGCGCAAATGACCCTTGTTGCGCAAACGTATTTGCGCAAATAAAATGGCGGAAATTAGCCTACCCCAAAATTTGCTTACTTTGAGGCGAATTCCTCGAATTTATCGGCATCAGCCTGGTTGATGAGCTTTCGAATGGCCATCTTGTCGCTCGGTTTGAATTTGAGCGAAACCACGAGAATGGCCATTGTGAAGAAGAGAAGTAAACGGAGCATCATTCTGTGAAGAAAATCTCTGTTTCATAAGGATTTAAAATCATAAATATTCGTTTAGCCGATAATTAATGAGTCACAGTGAACAAGAAAGGGATTTTGCTGTAAATTTTGTAGTTTGCCCTCAGTGTTTACCATTAGAAGCGACAACAGGTATCCGTTATTTCAAAAGACTTATTAATTATCATTTTCATTGATTCGGGCATGATTTTACATTTCTTTCATTTACTATTGGGTTGGGGAGAATGAGTCGGCGCCGAAAATCAAAGAAATTTCTAAAACTTATAGCAGACTTTGTCAAATGATATGCGTTTGATATCCGTAGAAGGGTAACTAATTCTCTACAAAATAATATTTAAAAGAGAACTCAAACAGCGCCTCAACTCAACAAAGGATCATTTTTTTCACAAAATCGATAAACTGTCATCTAGAGTAAACGGTTGGAGGGATCTTCCTGAAAATTTGGTAACTTATGTAATTGCGTGTGCTCTATCTTTTTTATATAAACACCAAAGGAGGTTTATGTGGAAGAAACTGTTCAAGCAATGAGTCGGACTTTTTGTCATTTTGATTAGCTGTGCTTGGGAATCCATAAAATCCCAAAAAAGAAAAGCTTTGTGGAATCTCTCAAAAGCCATTTTGTAAAGAAATAGTGGACCATTTTGATGAAACAAAACGTGTATTTAAAGAAGGTTTTATGGGTGCAAAAAAGTTTCTTTAAATTTCGGCGCCGACTCATTCTCCCCAACCCAATACTTCTGCTGATTTACTACTTTTGCCAATCAGTGCAAATTTACCAAAGGAACAGATTCATCATGTTATACTATACGAGCTCGATAAAGGCTCAACTTCAAGTCTAGCCCTATGCCAAATAGCAAACGTATATGGCAATGACTATAGTGCGTGGCCGCCGCCTTTCCCATCCACTCAAAAGTGGGTAGACACCGCCCACCCACTTTTGAGAGGGTTGCCGCACTATATTCATGACTCCTTCTTCAAGACTACCTGTGATTTCACAAGTTTAAGGATCGGGACAAATCTTTAATTGAAAGCGATGGCCCCGGAACCGGTTGAAGTTGAAATCGACAAAATATTGGAGCTAAAACAACCGAAAGACTACACGTGAACTTGGAAAAGACCTTGAAGTGAGTCATTTTACAGTGGGACATCATTTAACTCAATTGGGTTATAGATCTATTTTGGGTTATAGATCTATTGAATCCAAGATTGATACTTTAGAGATTACAATTTGCCTTTTACCTTAGAAAAAAAATCTTGCTTACAGTTAATTATAGATGATTTAAAATCTAAGGTTATAAATTTACCTCCTTTGTGCAGAGATAAATGTTGCTCAGAATATCTGAATCCTTGTGCTGAATTCCCCCGATCAAAAAGCTTTTATATAAGCTCCGCCGATTTCTAAAGAAAAAAAACAATATCAGGCGATGATCTTTGAGCGTTCCAATCCCATAAAACATGAAGCTACCTGTGGGATACACGGGATGTACCCGGATAAATGGATCCCATCATCGAAATTTAGGTTTCCAAATTTAGCTTTGACCCCTGATCTTTTGTACTCGGTTTTCATTGTTGGCTTTTGAGTTTTGAATAGATTTTGACTGGGGGGGTGTAATGGGAAAAGGTAGTGCGGTGAAAATTATGCCGTTTGTTGAACATTGTTGAACTTCGGAACATTCACGTCAAAATCGACTCATGCTCATAGTTTTGTTATCTGTTAGAGATAGCCCAAAATTACCCGAACCAATAAAATCTCATGGTTTGAGAATCTTTTCGAGAGATGTCGACTAGTCGAGAGATGTCGACTAGACAATTATGAGATTAGATCAAACATTCAAATTGATGGTTTTAGTTCGACCAAAACACGACCTTCGTGCGAACGAGTAGCCGCTTCGAGACGCGGACTCTGTTGACGTGCAATTCGGCCGGGACCGGATGGGAGCTGGCTGTTGGTAGCTATACAAATGCCATTGTTCAAACGGCTGCTTGCTTTCAACGCTTTTGGTATGCATGATTGTCGTTTGTTTTGTCGGGTTACTAGCGAAATAAATACTTTTTAACTGATTGCTAAAAATAAATTGCCAGTCTGGATAAAGTAAAGAGCGAAAAATGCAAAAATGTGTTGATGTGAAACAGGCTTCTTTAACGTTTATCTACATGGCTCTCTTTTAGAACATTTTGGCGTATATTACAAGAGCAATACAATTCTTTTCGAACTTTACGTAGAGTTGAATGAAAATTTTAAGAGAAGAATGAAAAGCTAAGACAAAAACATGCATTTTTGCCGCGAAAAGTTCTCTCTTCATTCTCAATTTTCTCATTTTCCAAACACCTGACTCTGACAAATCGGCTTGCCAACTTTCTTCTCAATCCACAGCTAGGACAGAAACATGCGTTGCCGCCCAATGCATCCTTGTTTTCGGAGTTTCTGGCGGAAATTTTTCCGGAGCGTAGCATGCCGAGTCCAGTATTTGTCAACTAACGGACGGTTCGTTTAGAAAAACTGCCATGTTTCATTTTTTCGTCATGTTTCATTCAAAAAATTCTGTGCGTAGTATTGTTCGTGATTTATCTAATGATGCAAATATGCAACGATCAACAGCTTGTGGCTGAAGAGGGTGAAGGAGTGGGAGGAGGAGTGGGAGGAGGAGTGGGAGGAGGAGTGGGAGGAGGAGTGGGAGGAGGAGTCGATAAAAAAGCCACCATCCAAACAGGTTCCAGCTCAAATTGTCTAAATTCAATTCTTTTTGTCATGTTTCATTCATGACTCCCACCGGTAACAATATTTTTCAAAAATTTTTTGCTAAGATTCTGAAAATGCGTGTCTAGGGGTTATTTTTGACGCTGATCACGAAACACATGTTTTTAGCCTAGGTTTCTTCACGGAAAACTAACGAAACGTGAAAACAGCCATTTTTTGGCTCTGCCGCCCCTTACTAAAATAGCTGTAAAAACTTTTAGAAAAGAGATATCTCAAAAAGGTTTTTACCAATCGATCCGTCTTGAATTCAGCTTTAGGATGAGCTATAAAACGTCAAAATTGGACAAATTTAAGGTACTCTCCCAAAAAATCGGAAAGGACCTTTCCATCAACCCAATACATTAACTTACAACCCATTAAACTTACAATCCATTGTAACATCAAGAAAACTCAACGTCCTTTAGCCAAAACGGTTGAAAGTTCTTTTTTTTTCACAAACTACAAACAAGTATTAGTGGAATTTGAAATATTCTTTTTCCTTTCTATACAGATAAATGTTGATTTTTGGGGCCTATCTCTCTGAAATTGCCGGTTACTGTTCAGAAATGGCCCTTTTCAGCCTCGAAATTAGCCCATTCCGAAAAGAAATAAAAAGTAGCAATTAAAAGAATGAAGCTCTAGCAAATACAGTATTATTTTAAGAAAAGTCGATACAGTCTCAAAATAACGAATTTTTTGAATCATTTCCTTTTTTTCGGCTGATTTCTCCGAATTAATAGATGACCGATTCATTGGAAATCTCTTAGGAATTATGAAAATTGAGCAAAGGAGGAAGTGGGTTTCATCAAAGAGTCTGCTCATCTAAAATCTAGATTTTAGTCTTTAGAGTAGATATTTTTCTTCGCTCTCGTTTGATTCTTATTAAAGGGCGGGGGGTATTGTCTGTATTGTATTGTATATGGTATTGTCAATTCGGTCACCTGTTGTCGATTTGGTCACCTATTGTCTTTTCGGTCACCTATTGTCTAAGCCTGAGCCTAAGCCTAAGCCTAAGCCTAAGCCTGAGCCTAAGCCTGAGCCTAAGCCTATTATCAATTCGGTCACCTATTGTCTAAGCCTGAGCCTAAGTCTAAGCCTGAGCCTGAGCCTGAGCCTGAGCCTAAGCCTGAGCCTGAGCCTGAGCCTAAGCCTAAGCCTATTATCAATTCGGTCACCTATTGTCTAAGCCTGAGCCTAAGCCTAAGCCTAAGCCTGAGCCTGAGCCTGAGCCTGAGCCTGAGCCTGAGCCTGAGCCTAAGCCTAAGCCTATTATCAATTCGGTCACCTATTGTCTAAGCCTGAGCCTAAGCCTAAGCCTAAGCCTGAGCCTGAGCCTAAGCCTAAGCCTATTATCAATTCGGTCACCTATTGTCTAAGCCTGAGCCTAAGCCTAAGCCTAAGCCTAAGCCTAAGCCTAAGCCTGAGCCTAAGCCTAAGCCTATTATCAATTCGGTCACCTATTGTCTAAGCCTGAGCCTAAGCCTAAGCCTAAGCCTGAGCCTGAGCCTAAGCCTAAGCCTATTATCAATTCGGTCACCTATTGTCTAAGCCTGAGCCTAAGCCTAAGCCTAAGCCTGAGCCTGAGCCTAAGCCTAAGCCTATTATCAATTCGGTCACCTATTGTCTAAGCCTGAGCCTAAGCCTATTATCAATTCGGTCACCTATTGTCTAAGCCTGAGCCTAAGCCTATTATCAATTCGGTCACCTATTGTCTTTTCGGTCATCTATTGTCCCATAACCAATAATAATTGGATTGTGCGCAACTCGTGGGGAACTAGCTGGGCCGAGGGCGGTTACCTTAGGATGAGAGATTCAATTCTGAAACACTGATGATCAATTCTGAAACTTTTATGGACTAAAGATTTAAAAACCAAAAGATTTTTCTCTTTTTTATGAACCTATTCAAAACTGATGACAAGGAGATGAGATGTTCGGGTCGAGGTCAATTTTCAACATTAACAAAAGCTGTTTTTCCCTAAAATTATTGATCATATTTTTATTTAGTGTATTGGTGTCCAGAAAGAAAATGATGTAGCAAAAAGTATATGGCGAGACTCAGGCAATTTTACGCCTTGTGCTTCGCAATTATTCTTGTTGTCTTTTCTAATTAGGTTGGGGAGAAAGTTCGAGCCGATTTTAGGGATGAGTGTCTTCAACTTAGCCGATTTGCTCGTGTGATAGCTCATTCGAAAGCTAATTATCTAGCGGATTGAATGGAAAAGATCGTTTATCGATTCATCAACTTTCAAAGTTTTTGCAGCCGTTTTACTGAGGTGCCTTTGATCCCAAATTTCAAACAAATAGACTTTATTTGTTTTTTGTATGGAAACTTGTGCCTTTGGGATGAGGGTCTTAAACTTACGTAATCTTACTAACCTTCAACTAACCTTCAACTAACCTTCAACTAACCTTCAACTAAGCTTCAACTAACCTTCAACTAAGCTTCAACTAACCTTCAACTAAGCTTCAAATAAGCTTCAAATAAGCTTCAACTAACCTTCAACTAACCTTCAACTAACCTTCAACTAAGCTTCAACTAACCTTCAACTAAGCTTCAACTAACCTTCAACTAAGCTTCAAATAAGCTTCAAATAAGCTTCAACTAACCTTCAACTAACCTTCAACTAACCTTCAACTAAGCTTCAACTAACCACCAATTAACCATCAACTAACCTTCAACTAAACTTCAACTAAACTTCAACTAACCTTCAACTAAGCTTCAACTTTTTAAAGAAAAACAAATCCTTTTAATTTCCCTTTGAACTTCTTCTAAAATCAAGATTTATTTCATTTCGAGCTTAAGCTAAAATTGGGAACTAAAATTTGATGTCATGACTGAACTAAAATTGAGGAAACAAAGTCCTCTTTTGTCTACCAGTCTACCAGGCCGATTCATTCCATTTTTGTCCTTCTTAATCCTCAAGGTGTAATCACACAATGATTCTTTTTCTTATTCAATTGTTTCGAGGAACAAAAAGGCTTAAAAAAGAGCCAAAGTCATTCGAATTCATCTTCAAAAATAGCCTTTTCAAAGTGACTGATTAACTGTTATCATTTAGAATGCCACTGTATCGACTGTCATGAATCCCCCGATTCTCCTCCGTTCCATCATCACATCGGCTCAGTTTCGACGGGAGCTCTTCTTCGTTTTTATCTGTTTTCTGATCACAAATGGTGAGTTATTGGAAATTGGATTTTTAAAGAGATAGATAGCTTTATCTCTTTAAAAGCTCTCTTTAAAAGCCTAATTTGAAATAAAGATAGCTTTATTTCAAATTGGGCAAGTTTTTGGGTAAATTCACATTTTTCACTTTCAATACGTAAATAGCCAGTTGCAAAGCGAAAAGTTAGAAGAAATTTCAACTTTATCTTCTAATTAACTATCATTTAACACTTATCACCTCATTTGACTAGATATGGTTCCAATACGGTTCCAAGACGATTCCAAAACGGTTCCTATTTCGATTAAATATGGTTTCGAATACGGTTCCAATACAGTTCCAAAATGGTTCCAAAACGGTTCCGATTTCGATTGAATATGGTTCCAATACGGTTCCTGTTTTGATTAGATATGGTTCCAATACGGTTCCAATACGGTTCCAAAACGGTTCCGACACGGTTCCAATACGGTTCCTATTCTGATCTGATGCGGATCTGATGCCGTTATCATTTAACACTTATCACATCATTTGATTAGATATGGTTCCAATACGGTTCCAAAACGGTTCCGATTTCGATTGAATATGGTTCCAATTCGGTTCCAAAACGGTTCCTATTTTGATCTGATGCGGATCTGATGCCGTTCTCAATTACGGTTATCACTCATTTGATTAGATATGGTTCCAATACGGTTCCAAAACGGTTCCGATTTCGATTGAATATGGTTCCAATACGGTTCCAATTCGTTTCCAGTACGGTTCCTGTTTTGATTAAATATGGTTCCAATACGGTTCCAATACGGTTCCTATTTTGATTAAATATGGTTCCAATACGGTTCCAATACGGTTCCGATTTCGATTGGATATGGTTCCAATACGGTTCCAATACGGTTCTCGTCTTGAGGGTCTCGGCTTTTCTCGTCTTGAAAAAATCAGCAACGCCTTTCACTTTTCTTTTAGAAGAAAAGAACAAAAGAGAGCGCAAAAAAAGATCGTGTAACATGGAGTATTCATAGTTTCAGCTTTACTCACCATTATCTACATCTTTCTACCAAATATCTACGATGTGGCGGCCATCGTGAACACGAACACTCGTTTTGTGCCGCTGAGACGATTCGTGCACGCACTTCAATTCGTGGTGGGACTAGTGGGGACTTTGAGCGAGCTTTACCCACCAATATTTCTTGTGCGACTTTTTTCCCAAAAACAAACATGGTTAGCGAATAGATTTAATCAGATTTGGGTACTCTCTCAAAAACGGGGGGAAGGAATTTATCGGGGGGAGGGGATTTTTCCCTTTACACCTTATTTAGACTCATTAAATTTGTTTATGTGCTTGCTTACTTCTTTTCTGCCTACTTCTTTTCTTCATTAGCTTCCGCAGCAACATTTTATTTCACCCAAACACTAGCTTATTGATAAAAGGCGATTGATCCAGCGGGAGTACCAGGTACCAGGTAATGAGCTCATTCAAGTGCTTGTTAAATAAGTTGTATAAGTCCAATCGGGAAGTTTTTAGTAGATAAATTTAGCCAAGATTAAGGGCTGCAATTCCCTATAAAACACTTGCCACTTTTGAAATAAATTAGACATTTTGAAGAGACTTTTCTAAAAAGTTGTCGCTATACTTTGCGGTCACCCTGTAGGCACTTCACCGCTACATTTAACTATTTTTTCGTCATCACAAAAAACACTAACAGTGTCCCGTGAAAGGTTAGTACTCAAAAATCTGCTTTGGAGTAACTTTTTCTAAACAATTTTCACTTTTTCCCTTTCCAGTTTGCTCTCTTCTCTGTAATCAACAATTCGATGGCTGTTGTCTATTGTTTCCGAAGTCGGCTCTTCACTCGAACTGTCATTCGGCTAATGTTGAGCGATTCGATCGCCAAGGGCACATTCTCCGTCATTCTCTTATGGGCATTCCTCTCACAGCTCACCCAATGGTATATTATTCTGAAATAGCTGTCAGAGTCGATCGGCGAGTCCCGGTTCATAAAAATTGAGTTAGAGTCCCGGTTCACCAAAATTGAGTCAGAGTCCCGGTTCACCGGTTCAAATTTTTGTCGAAAAAACTGTGATGATTTCTTTAGTGGAAACTGAAACTGAAGCTTTGAACGAGAAATGAAATATAGCGATGAGATGTATGAGATAGAGCGGTATGTAGGCCATCAGAAAATTTCTCTAGAAAAACTTTCATATGTAAACCGAGCAAAAAAACAATTGACCAAGCGGACACCGGGGAAAAAGAGTTGTCTTTGTTTTATCTTTTTGCACAATCTTTTGTCTTGTTATGGACTCTATAAAAAGCAAAGAATATTTCAATGTTTCAAATAGAATAAGCAATATTTCAATGTTTCAAACCCATAAGACCAATTTTCGAATTGGTCTTATGGTTTTAATCAGGAAATGTTTTGGGTTCTTGGAGTTGGTCCACGAAAAATTTGAAAGCTAGCGATAACAATCGTAAGCATTTTTAGTCAGACATTATTTAGATATTCAGCTAAAGAATTTAGCCACAGATTTAGACATTCAGATCTTTTTCAGAACCTTACAAGTGTTAGCTTACAATAATTGTATGACTCTGGAGCTTAACAGTCAGCTTTTTGATCTTAGCTTGCTATTGGAAAGCAATAGCTATTGCTAAACTTTTCAATCATAAACTAATCAGCTGAAACTTTAGAAGTAAGGTTCACCGGTTCAAATTTTTGTCGAAAGAACTGTGACGATTTCTTTAGTTGAAAATGAAACTGAAACTTTGAATGAGAAATGAAATATAGCGATGAGATGTATGAGATAGAGCGGTGTAGGCCATCCAAAATTTCTCTAGAAAAACTTTCAAATGTAAACCGATCAAAAAAACAATTGTCCAACCGGACACCGGGAAAAAGACTTTAGAGGTTTCCAACAGCTAGCCATCTAATCAAATTCCATCCAACAGCTAGCCATCCAACAGCTAGCCATCCAACAGCTACCCATCCAACAGCTACCCATCCAACAGCTACCCATCCAACAGCTACCCATCCAACAGCTACCCATCCAACAGCTACCCATCCAACAGCTACCCATCCAACAGCTAGCCATCCAACAGCTAGCCATCCAACAGCTAGCCATCTAATCAAATTCCAACCTAGCTAAAGTATAGTTTACTCATCTCCGCCCCTCCTCAATTTTTCTAGATCCATTTTTTGAGGGGGTAAACTATACGCTTACCCTAAATCTCAATCTAGAATCATAATGATTCGTTGGTAGTGAAATAAAGTTGAGGCTTTCTATTAGGGTGGTGCAAAAGAAACTTCCAATTTGACGGTAAATTCAAAAAAGATGGCGTTCGATGGTGACATGATCACAATGGAATATTTTCGCAAGATTTCGAGCAGATTGGCATGGATCTGCCTGTATAAAGTCCCTCAGCTTGGCTTCGTTCACGACTTCTGGCTTGGAACCGTACTCGTAATCTTCCAAAGTCTCGTCTCCCTGAATCGTTGAAACCAAGTCTGACATTGCCTGAGAGACAAACTGCCATCTCCGAAAGCAGCACAAAGAGAACGATGCGATTCGGCAGCAGACTTTCCAATTTTGAAGTTAAACAGTAATGCTGCTCGTAGCACAAACTTTTGCTCGACCATGATCTATTAGGTTGATGCATAAGTCTTTTTGTTCCTTTTCGTCTGCCGTTTCAAGCCAAAAAATGCACCAATTAAACTACGGTTGATTTCATTAGAAAAACCAATTATTTTTCTGCAAAATAACATTAAAACGGGTTTAAAAATATTTAATGCCTGGATTTTCTTGAGAGTATGAAGTCGGGTAGTCAAAAAGGGCTAACTCGATGATGCGGTTTAGACACCTTAGCTAAAGAAAACCTATCTTCGTGTCAATAGATAAAAGATAGAGAAAAAAACGTTTGATATTTCGCCAAAATTTCAGAGAAATTCATTCAGCCAATTTTTCCGTAGAGTTTTTTATAGATTTTTACGAAAAAGGCGTTTTTCACTCTCGAATTTGCTTGAAAGTGAACCGAAATTTGATTTAAAAAGATGCAAATTGAACAAAAAAACACTTTTTTTATAGAGCAAACTATAGATTAATTGGTGAATTTGTTACTTTTTAACAGAAGTACGAAAAAAAACGAAAAGACTTATGCATCAACCTATTAAATAAAAAATATAAGCATTTAAAAATAAAATAAAAAAACAACCAAAAAATTAAAATGTCGAAATAAATAGCAAACAAATAAGCGAACAAAACATGGAAAAAATAATGCCGTTAGCATCGCTCGTTTCTGATAAATGAGAGCTGATACCCATCGGCAGTTTCTTTTGCACCACCCTAAGGAGAGTCACAAAATTTGGATTTGGAGAGTCACAAAATTGCCACCGAGCCAACCGAACTAGCGTCCATCCCTTGAACCAGATTTTTAGATTAAAACTTGATTCATTTAACGATTTAACTATTCTTTAACAACTATCATTTAACCAAATCTTCATCATTTGCGATTCATGCAAGTCTTTCCAGTTCCCCATTCCCGAAATGTTCGGACAACGTGGTGCTGACAACGGTCTTCTTTTGGGTTCACCTCTTCCTGGGGTCCGGCTACTACATTTCGGGTTTCTTGCAAATTGGTGAGGGATTTTCGATTTTTAGAAGCTTTAAAGTTTCCAGCTTTCTCGCTAAATCGCTTTCTTGCCCTCTCGTTCAACGGGCTCTACTCGCAACATTCACAGAAATATTCGGCTCTTCAAATCGGTTTCCCGGTATTGGCTGGAGTGATCGCGGAACGGTTGCAAATATTCTGTGAGTGTCGTTTAATTTGAAAAGATTCAGAGTGATTTTATTTGAAAAGATTTGAGCTCTTTGTGAAAGCTCATGCGCGGGCTTTCTTATAAAGTTTTGGATGGGTTTGCATTCCGACACGTTACCCGCTACACTACGCAATCATTTCTTTGTCGCGCAAGCGCAAGCGTTTTAAGAGGCCAAAAACTTGCTTTCCAAAATCCTTGCGATTCGGACCTATTTAGCAAAAAAAAGGGGCAGCAGATTCGGAATCAGCGTCAAATTCTGCATCGAATGGTCAAGATCTCATTTCGATTGGTGACCTTGATTTCGTGTTTTTCCCTTATGAGCTATTTCCCCGAAGAAAAGTCCCCTAAAATACGCAAACTTTCACAGATCCCAAACCTCTTCAAGCCCTAAACCATCCTAAAACCAAAAAAATGGTTTCCCGTCGCATTTCTTATTTACCAATCCCATTATTAACGCTGTAAATTTCAATAAAACGTTTGTTCTCTTTAATTTAATTTAATTTTAATGTTTTTAGATGACAGCGTTTTGATGGATATGAGATTTATTTTTGTTTCCGCGACACTGCCGCTCGATTTGATTCTCATTTACAAATTGGCGGTAAGGGAAAACAAATTTTTGCTCTTTCTAAGGCTAAATTTCAGAAAAACAAAGTAAAGAAAATCGATTTGGCCACCGAGCGCTTCCTTTTGGTGCAAGTGAGCGGCTCAAAAAAGGATATAATTCTGAAATATTTTGATCAAGAATTCGGATCAAGAATTCAGATCAAGAATTGAGATCAAGAATTGAGATCAACAATTCAGATCAAGCAGATCAACAATTCAGATCAAGCAGATCAACAATTCAGATCAACAATTCAGATCAAGCAGATCAACAATTCAGATCAAGCAGATCAAGAATTGAGATCAACAATTCAGATCAAGCAGATCAACAATTCAGATCAAGCAGATCAACAATTCAGATCAAGCAGATCAACAATTCAGATCAAGCAGATCAACAATTCAGATCAAGCAGATCAACAATTCAGATCAAGAATCCAGATCAACCATTCAGATCAACAATTCAGATCAACAATTCAGATCAACAAATTCCAGATTTTGATCAACAATTTACCGTTGACATTTGCTCACGTGATCTGCCCCTTTATCTACAAAATTTTCATGGATCAGTGTCCGCTCGTCGCCGATCTATCGTATTATCTTGGGAATTTCTTGGTTTACAGTGGCGGCTATACGGTCGCCGGGTGAACACTTTTTAGAGTTTTTTGAAGCAAAAAGAGTAAATGTAGTCTTAAAGTGCGTGCAAAAATAGGTTAGCTCTTAAAAAGCTTCTCAAAAAGCAAAAATACTTCATCTAGCTAGCCTTAGCAAAAGGAATGTGGAAAAGAAAGTAGTTATTCATTCCTAGACATAAAATAAAAAGTAATAACATAATAAAGTAAAAAGTAGTGATTCGTTGGAATTCCTAGATATTTCAATGCAAATTTTCGTACTTTGTTGGGGCCTTTTTCATTTTTTCACTTCCCCGGGGGTAATCGAGGTCGTTGAACACGAATTTAAAGAAGGTTAGCAATCAAAAACACTACTATTTACTATGCAATACATTGCTATTTATCCAGGCTTTGGCTTCGCACCTTAACCGCGCCGTAGGCGCCTGTGCTAGCCTAATCGTAAAACCTGGAACGCAGTTAATGTTCGTGCTAGCGCCGTCGTCTTAGTCTGCCTTTTGTCTAAGTGGCGCCGATCAATGTTGACCATTTGGGTCAACATTGATAGGCTCCATCCACAAAAGCCAGCTTAAGACTAAGGCTTAAGCAACTATTCATGTTTCTCTAAGGCTATATTTTAGAGAAACTTGAGTGTCTGTTTAAGCCTTAGTCTTAGGCTGTCTTTTGTGAGTAGAGCTTATCAATGTTAGCCTACGCATTAACTAACATTAAACAGCGTTAAAGTGCCAAAAAGTCGATATTTCATAAATAAACCTACCGTAAATACTGTAATAGTACCCCACCCCCATAATGACGATGCGGAGCGTTTCGTAGTCTAGCTTCGTAGTCTAGCAACCCACAATCGCAACCCAACCCATATTAGTACCGAGAGTTCTTTGCAGTGCGAGCACGATTTTCCTATTGCGAAGAGCCGAGAAGGAGCAATGGCGGAAAAGGCATCGCGCGAATCGGGTCCTCCAATTGGCGTCACGATTTTGAGAGAAATAAACAATCAATAGCTTTCGGGTGAATAAAGAGGTGCTTTCCGACGAAACACAAAAGATCTATTTCAGTTTCCCAGTCGGCCTTCTCTAAAATGTCATAATCGAATCAAAAGAATAGATCTCCAACTTTATAAGGAACGGTGCAATCTCAATCGATTCCAATAAATCTTGTCTCTTCATTCAATTATTGCGTTAACAAAAAGCGAAACGTTTCCAGCTAAGCTTTCCAGCTAAGCTTTCGAGCTAAGCTTTCGAGCTAAACTTTCGAGCTAAGCGTTTCCACTGGTAAGCTTTCCAGATAAGCGTTTCCAGCTAAGCGTGTTTCCAGCTAAGCGTGTTTCCAGCTAAGCGTGTTTCCAGCTAAGCGTGTTTCCAGCTAAGCGTTTCCACTGGTAAGCTTACCTTTGGCTTTATAATGAACTTTCCATTTAAGTCACTAGGAAATTATTTTCAACTTGTTGATTTTCAATAAATATTGCTGCAATGTATTGCTGGAATTTAAAAATAGTCGAACTTTTGTTCAGTCGTTCAGACGTTCAGTCGTTTTGTTCGTCGAACATCGTTCAGACACACATACACTAAACGCGCCATGTTGACTGGTCGGCCATGTTGACTGGTCGCAATTGATCCGAATTGCTGTCAAAAACCATTCTTGAATAGATACAGTTAATCGATTGAAAGCAACAAATCAAACTTCTCTTTTTGCCTTAAACAAGAGTGTTCAGGTTCTATGTGTCAGGCTGTTCCAGTCAAGAAAATCGAGTTTTAGAGACACAAGGAGCCAAATGAAGAGAGATAAGGAACCAAATTTAGAAAAACAAGGAACCAAATTTAGAGAGATACGGAACCAAATTTAGAGAGATACGGAACCAAATTAAGAGAGATAAGCTCTGGCTCAGCAGATAACCTCAGCAGATTCACATTTTGAACTTTGATTCCTAATTGAAATTCATTGTTTTCTAGTAAAAGTGAGCTAGATTTTGGAAATAATAAGTAAAAAGAAGTAAATGATGGCTTCCTTTGATTTTGAGGCAATGAAACTAGTTGCAAAAATCAGAAAATCGCGATTCCGCCGCAAGAAACGCGTGTCACAATTTTGCAGCGCTCTAGCAAAAGTTTAGAAACTTTTTTGATCAAATCCAGAAAAGGCATTGCAGGAGAAATATTCAAATTTAATAATAAAAGAGAATTAGGTCGATTGATTGATCGCTAAGCTGAAAGAAGCCGAACTGAGTGCGGGTAATTGTGCGTCACCCTGTAAAACAAAACATGACAAGTCCTAGATTTGAAAAAGTGGAGATTTCTGCCAGATTTCTGCCAGATTTACAAATTTATCCGAAATTACTTGTTTACGCTTAAATATTACCGATTTGCTGGCGACTTTTTGATTGAAGCGAGATTTTGAATTTCGTTGTGGCTAGCGAAGGCACATGGTGGCTTGCGGGAGGGGAGGGGAATTCGGAGAGGCTGACTCACCGCAAACAATCGCTGGACCCCAAAACGATCACCAGCATCGCTTCTCGTATGATGCATCCAGTTTATGTATAGGATTTCGTTTTATAATGCAAAAATTTTCGGAAAGGAACGTGTTTTGTCTAGACTTCTCAACAAAGTTTTGCTGTGTTTTGAACGAGAGTTTTTTTCATGAATGAACCAATTCATTTCTTGCTTTGTTCTTATTTTCTTTTTAAGCTATGAAAGCTTTTATAAGCTATGGAAGCTTTTATAAGCTATGGAAGCTTTTATAAGCTATGGAAGCTTTTATAAGCTATGGAAGCTTTTATAAGCTATCAAAGCTTTTATAAGCTATCAAAGCTTTTATAAGCTACAAAGCTTTTTAAGCTATGAAAGCTTTTATAAGCTATCAAAGCTTTATAAGTTATGAAAGCTTTTATAAGCTATGGAAGCTTTTATAAGCTATGGAAGCTTTTATAAGCTATCAAAGCTTTTATAAGCTATGAAAGCTTTTATAAGCTATGGAAGCTTTTATAAGCTATGGAAGCTTTTATAAGCTATGGAAGCTTTTATAAGCTATCAAAGCTTTTATAAGCTATGAAAGCTTTTATAAGCTATGGAAGCTTTTATAAGCTATGGAAGCTTTTATAAGCTATGGAAGCTTTTATAAGCTATCAAAGCTTTTATAAGCTATGAAAGCTTTTATAAGCTATGGAAGCTTTTATAAGCTATCAAAGCTTTTATAAGCTACAAAGCTTTTTAAGCTATGAAAGCTTTTATAAGCTATGAAAGCTTTTATAAGCTATGGAAGCTTTTATAAGCTATGGAAGCTTTTATAAGCTATCAAAGCTTTTATAAGCTACAAAGCTTTTTAAGCTATGAAAGCTTTTATAAGCTATGGAAGCTTTTATAAGCTATCAAAGCTTTTATAAGCTACAAAGCTTTTTAAGCTATGAAAGCTTTTATAAGCTATGGAAGCTTTTATAAGCTATCAAAGCTTTTATAAGCTACAAAGCTTTTTAAGCTATGAAAGCTTTTATAAGCTATGAAAGCTTTTATAAGCTATGGAAGCTTTTATAAGCTATCAAAGCTTTTATAAGCTACAAAGCTTTTTAAGCTATGAAAGCTTTTATAAGCTACAAAGCTTTTTAAGCTATGAAAGCTTTTATAAGCTATCAAAGCTTTTATAAGCTACAAAGCTTTTTAAGCTATGAAAGCTTTTATAAGCTATCAAAGCTTTCCAAGCTATCAAAGCTTTTAAACTATCAAATTCAAGCTATCAAAGCTTTCCAAGCTATCAAAGCTTTTCCAGCTATCAAATAAACCAGCTGTTTTCAAAGTCTTTTACAATGTAATTGTCTGTAATGTACAATGTAATTGTCTATAATATACAATCTAATGTAAAGTGCTTTTACAATGTAATGTTTCAGTACTTTTCAGTATTGTTTTTCAAAATGAAGATCCGTTGTCTTGCTATTAAATGTTAAACAAATAAATTAAACAAAATAAAAGTATTCAGTTGTCAAGATCGAAAAGCCTGAGACGTAAGACTTTTACAATGGAATATTTTGTGCAATGCAATGTACAATTTCTTAGATTTTACAATACCATTAAGTCTTTTAAAGAACTAAGCTAGAGGTTTTTTATTTTTGAATCCACTAGCACGGAAGTGACCTCGTGCACCCTTTTCCTTACCACTTTCACACTCTTATTTCCATTCATTTCCTTTCTTTGGTCCCTTGACACTTTTCCACTCGAGAGAGCCTCAAATTAGCATCCCACCTCTATTTACCAAATGCAAATGGGGTTTCGAGAATTGAAAATGAAAGACAAGTACTAGAATCTTTTGCTGATTGTTATCTTTTTGAGTTGGCATTTTGTTTTCAATCTTATTTCTTATTCTTATTCTTATTCTTATTCTTATTCTTATTCTTAATCTTATTCTTAATCTTACTCTTATTCTTATTCTTATTCTTATTCTTGATTACAAAGTCTTGAATGCAAATAGTGATAAAGGTTCCTTAAGGCTTGGTTAAGGTTCAGTGATTAAAGTTGGTTCAGTTCTCCAATGAGCCGGTTTTTGGCAAATGACACAATCCACGTATCCCGATGTTTTAATTCATGACTGACTAAGGTTTAGGAGAGCTCTTCCAGCTCTTCTAAACCCTATTTTCAAATTTCAGAACAATCCAATCGATCGAACCGTTCTCTTTCATTTTTTAAAAATCTTGCTTAAATTCAAACGAAAATGGATTAAATTAGCACAAAAGTGCATTTTGAGCCTAATTTGAAAATCAACCTTCCGAAGATTAGATTGTTCTGAAATTTTGGGAAACTATGTAATCGATGAAGCGTTTTATTTTAAAAAGTATGCAATCACTCAAAAATATATTAGCTCATGAATGCTAGAAACCAGGATTTTGAACTTGTAGATTAAGGATAGGGTTTTTGAATGAAGCAAACATTTTTTTGATTCGATAAGCCGTTTTTTTCAGAAAACACATTACCCAAAAACGATCGTTTATAACTTGCCAACCTAATATTAGAGGAAGTCGCTCTATTTTTCAATATCCCCTTGGGGAGTTGTTCTATTAGAGTAAGTCTTTCTATTAGAGGAAGTCTTTCTATTAGAGGAGGTCGTTCTATTAGAGGAAGTCGTTCTATTAGAGGAAGTCTTTCTATTAGAGGAAGTCTTTCTATTAGAGGAGGTCGTTCTATTAGAGGAAGTCGTTCTATTAGAGGAAGTCTTTCTATTAGAGGAAGTCTTTCTATTAGAGGAAGTCGTTCTATTAGAGGAAGTCTTTCTATTAGAGGAAGTCGTTCTATTAGAGGAAGTCGTTCTATTAGAGGAAGTCGTTCTATTAGAGGAAGTCGTTCTATTAGAGGAAGTCGTTCTATTAGAGGAAGTCTTTCTATTAGAGGAAGTCGTTCTGTTAGAGGAAGTCGTTCTATTAGAGGAAGTCGTTCTATTAGAGGAAGTCGTTCTATTAGAGGAAGTCGTTCTATTAGAGGAAGTCGTTCTATTAGAGGAAGTCGTTCTATTAGAGGAAGTCGTTCTATTAGAGGAAGTCTTTCTATTAGCGGGAGTCGTTCTATTTTTCAATAACCCCCTGGGAAGTAGCTCTATTAGAGGTGATCGTTTATTTGAGGGGGTGGCTCTAATACAGCATTTACGGTATTTCATTTGGTTCATTTGGTCCAAATGCAAGTTTGTTACAAATTTTCTTCAGCTAACATTTCTACAGCTGTCGTCCGAAAGGTAGTCAAGCTAAAAAGGCCTTTCTCGTGAATAGTTTACCATAATCTAGCTGCAAGATCCAGAGTTTCAAAATTTATAATAATCTTAAAACTCATTCGGCTTTTAATTCTTTAAACTGTCTTTTGTAAACTCAAAATCCTAATTCACTTGTTTCAAAGTGCTCTGGAGTGGAAGAATTTTGAGAAATTGAGAAATTGAGACAATTCGTCATAAGTCTCAGTCAGTGAGGGTTCTCATTTGCTTTCTTGTGTCTCTTCTCTATTTCATTTCTCAAAGGCGATGGATGCCCCACTTTCCGCACTTCAGTCAAAGAAAAAAACTGTACTGAGGCTCATGAGGAAAAAGTGGTGAAAAAAAAAGAAAAGAAATGACTC